GCTTGTTCAAGAATCGAAACAGCGCTTCCAAAACATGTTATAACAATGTTCGGCGGAGAAAAGATCAAGCTACAAATTCCATTCGATTACTCGTTTCGGAATGAGGAAGAGGCGCGGGAAGGAGGTCATCTTAACTCCTAATTACGACGCAATCACCCAATTGCTGTTATTTTTAAAATTTTAATTAAATTCGGCTTAAATTTTCGTGATTGCCGTAAATTTGCTTTATTTTTACAAAAACTAGCAGGAATTTTATTGCTAATTTTAAATTTTTTAAAACTTTTAAAAAGTAATCAAATTTGATAAAAAATGTCAAGAACTTTCTTTACAAAACAAAAAATGGCAAGAACTTTCTTTACAAAACAAAAAATGGCAAGAACTTTTTTTACAAAACCAAAATTAGAAGAACTTTCTTTACAAAGCGAAAAATAGCAAGAAATTTCTTTACAAGATGAAAACTGGCAAAAACTTCTTTCCCAAAACCAAAATTAGCAAGAACTTCCTTTACAAACTAAAATTTCAAGAAAACATTTTTTAAATAGAATGTCTAAAACTACTGTATTATAAAAAATTGCATGCATATAAATATTGTGTAGTAAGTTCAACCTCCGTTCTTTTAATGTTCTGCCATTCTTTCGAAATTGTTTAAATTTTTTGAGTATATCATTCTTCATCGGTCTCCCCACGCATTGTGGCCAAAGAACGAAGCAGGATATTACACAGAATGGCATTAAAATCAAAAATTTTTTTTCGAAATGAAGAAGGGCAAGAACTTTCTTTACAAGCCAAAAAATGGCGAGAACTTTCTTTACAAAACAATAAATGGCAAGAGCTTTCTTTACAAGATGAAAAATGGCAAAAACTTTCTTTACAAAACAAAAAATGGCAAGGACTTTCTTTACATATCTAGAAATAGCAAGAACTTTCTTTACAAAGAGAAAAAAAGTTTCAAAAACTCCATTTTACAGTATGCTCCTAGCTCTGGTATGGTCCTCCAAAGCTGCTTTCAATTTGCGTTGAAAACCGATTAAGATATTTACATCGCCTACGCGGCTTTATTTAGCTGCTTACAATAACATGTCGGCAAGATTACTACGTAACATGGCCATGGTATTTTAATTTCAAAAACAATTGAAAAGGGTTTCAAAGGTTAATTAAATTTGGCGAAGGCGGTGGTTTAACGACGTAAACAAGTGTTTTTCTTGGGTTTTGAGGGAGTCATACGGCATGTTTTAGGTTGTAAAAATAGGCTTGCAAGTTACCGTAACCCGAAAAGTTAATAAATATTTTGTAAAAAAAGTTCTTGCCATTTTTCATTTTGTAAAGAAAGTTCTTGCTATTTTTTGCTTTGTAAAAAAAGTCTTTGCCATTTTTCATTCTTAAAGTAAGCTCTTGTTATTTTTTTTTGTAAAGAAAATTCTTGCCATTTTTTGTTTTGTAAAGAAAGTTCTTGCCAATTTTTTTTTGTAAAGAAAGTTTTTGCTATATTTCGTCTTGTAAAAAAAGTTCTTGCCATTTTTCATTCTGTAAAGAAAGTTCTTGCCATTTTTTGGTTTGTAAGGAAAGTTCTTGCCATTTTTTATTTTGTAAAGAAAGTTCTTGCCATTTTTAGCGAACAAGGTTCAAAAACAAATTAATTAAAATTAATTTTGTTAATAACACTGACAATAGTCATAAGCCACTAATACAATTTGGAAATAGTTTCGCGGAAATTGTAGGCTTTCGAGTGTTTACTAAAACAATTTTGAATACGGTCGGAAATGCTCGACATTTCAAAACGTACAATAATTGTAAAAGCAACACAATGACATCGTTTTGTGTTTTAGAAAGGTTTAAGTATTCAGAGTATTTTTGCGAAAACTTTCATTACAGAACGAAAAACGGCAAAAACTTTCTTTAAAAAACAAAAAATGGCAAGAACTTTACAAAATGAAGAATGGCAAGAAATTTCTTTACAAATAAAAAACGGCAATAACTTTCTTTACAATACAAAAAATGGCAAGAACTTTCTTTACAAAACAAAAAATCATAACAAATCATCACTACACGACCCTTTTGGTATAAAAATGATCATTTTGCTGAATCAAATAGATATATATATATATATGTGGGTTCCATGACGACTATGTACTATATATGATCTATTTAGCCCAACAATAAGCATGTAAATGATAATCATATAGTTCAAACCGTTCAAAAAACAAAACCAAATGAACTTTCTCTATATTGTAATTTCAATGTGATCAATATTAATATTAATCTTTCATAACAAATTTATTTTTTAAAAGTTTTCTGAAGGTTTTTATCCAAGATTTATCTATCGAAGGCAATATCAGTAGGTCTAGAATAGGGTTTGAGTAAGGCTAGGATAGAGCTAGTAGTAGGGTTATATAATGGCTAGAGGAAGGCTACAAAAAATTTAATAGTAGGGTTAAAGCATAGCAAAAGTAAGCTAAGGATGGGCAAGGGAGAGCAAGTGTAAGGCCAGAATAAGTCTAAGGTTGAGCTATTGTAAGAATAAAGCATAATTAATGAACAACTAGAGCAAGACAGTAGTAAAGGTAAGATTAAGGTAAGACTAGGGTAAGGCAACAATAAACAAGCTATTTTCAGAAAACTGCGTTTTTAAAAGTTTAGCAAGCCCTTTTTGAAATTCGGAATCATTGGCTAACCAAAAACCTAATCGCATAACATCACATATGCATGGTGCGGGTTAAGACCGTGTTTCCGATAAAGTTTGTCAAATGCATTCAAATTGCAATAAATTTTCAAGTGGTGTTTACCAAAAATTTTAGTTCCGGGGCTGAAACGGAAGAGGAATAATGGGTTAATTTAGCAGATTACCCGCCGAATTGCCAATGATATAAAGCTCATTTCAAAACTCGTAAATTAACTCCAGTGTTTTTGGTTGAAAGTGTCAAAAAAGAATGAAACACGTGTCAGTACTTTGGTTGCTGTCTGGAAGTGATTCCAGTAAGTGATATTTATAAGGAAGTCTAGCCTTTTGCAAAGCCAAAGCAAAACTAGGGCTAGGCAAAGCTAGGGCCGAAGCTAGAGCAAAGCTAAGGTTAAGGCTATAGGCTCAGGCTCAAGCTCAGGCTTAAGTTTGAAATCCGACCCAAGCTAAAGCTCAGGTTCAGGCTCAGGCTCAAGCTCAAGCTCAAGCTCAAGCTCAAGCTCAAGCTCAAACTCAAGCTCAGGCTTAGGCTTAGGCTCAGGCTGAGGATGAAGCTCAGGCTCAGGCACAGGCTAAGGCTCAAGCCCAGGCTCAGGCTCAGACTTAGAATTAGGCTCAGGCTCAGCCTCAGCCTCAGGCTTAGGCTCAGGCTTACCTTAAGGGTTAAATGCAAGCCCAGACTCAGAATTTAACTTTTTCTCATGTCAAGACTTAATATAAAAGTGCAAAAGCAAGCGCTTGTTTTGCCATTCCAAACCACGTTTTTACTCAGTAACCGAATATACATCTGTTACAGTATTCAAACGTGACATAAAGCATGACACATTAAACATTCTCAAAAAAAAACTTGTGGTAAGCACTATGATATTACTTTTTACCGTTTCTATTAAAATATTTGTCGATTGTTTATTGAAGCATACACAAAAATAGAGGGTGGAGAATAAAATATGAGAAAATGTCATCATAGCTAGCTTGAAAACGTGGAATAACACGATATTTTTAAAAGTATAAAATAGCACGAAGATGCTAAATATAGGGCTCAATAATTTTGTAGTACTAGATCATCTGCTTCAACATCTGCTATGTTATTTAACCCTAACCTAAGATTCTTATACAAAACTATCTTGTTGACCTGGTTGAACTTGAACTAAACGTATGGTCTGACAATGTTGAATTTGGATAAATATGCAAAAACTGGCGTTTAGTATAAACAAAATTTTAAAAATAGAATGTTTGTACTTTAAAATGACTTTTTTCATAAAATTCAAAAACAGAAAGTGAAAGTTAAATGGCTTGTAGCATAACATTCCTAACACATGGTTTCAAATACAACTACACTAATATACACATGTTAATTTTAATTTTTAAACAAGTGCCGCTTTGTTTTTAAACTAAAGTTGTACCACTTACTAAAAAGGCTAAGCTATTGTACTAAAATAGAAACTACAGACTAAATACTGCCACTTAATACCGTTAAAAACGTTTCATTTCGAAACACTAGTTAATACATTACAACGATTATCCTTAAAGTTGTTGTTTCCGGCGCCAATTTACATTCACAAATGTCAGGTATGGCAGTTTTGCATTCTCAACTACAAGCATTATCTAATCCAACCATTTAATCGCATGCTTACGCAAATTTCGAAAGTCGGTTTTAAAATATCCGAAATCGGCTTAGCGGACTTAAAAATGGCACGGATTACTGTTTCTCCGCATCCGTTCTTTAGTAATTTCTAATCTTATCCCATTTTGTAGGACATTTTTGTCCGTTAATCTTACTAGTCTTGAGTTCTTAATACTATGCAGTGAGTATTTTCAGTGCTTAGCAATACATTTTGTATCAGTATGGCTTAATACTATACAGTATGATAGTTTAATACCTTTTATATGGACTGAGTATTTGGAAATTAAGCTAATAGATAACCTTCATAAATGTTCAAAAACGGATACTAACTAAGGTTTATGGATTAACGATGAATAAAACATACTACCGGATGTATTGTTCGGTTAGATATGAATACTATGAGCAATAATAGATTAATTAGGTAGTGGTTTTAGGGTTTGCTAGATAATCCGTTTCTTTTTTGTTTGAAAAACTATAAATAACCACGTAAAGGTTTGAAAAACTATAACATATTTATTCTGTTAAGTTATCTTGAAAAATCAAATCCTCCTTCAACACAAATGCAATTGATACATATTTTTATTATTTTTACCCGTTTTACAACATTGAGATACATATACAAGTTTAAATAGAAGTTATATAATACAATTATGTACATACAATTAAGTTCCTAACAATATTATACTACAAGCTCACATATTAATCTTTGTTTAGAACTCTTTGCTTTATCTTTGTAAAAAACCGGTCGGTTGAAGAGGTAGAAACCGACCGAAGCTTCCTCTTTGCTCCACCAAATCTTCGCGGCAATGGGGCGTCAGTCACCGCTCGATTCGGCCCATCGTTCAACGACAGCGCCGTCAAGTTTGCCGACATTCGCTGCTCGGCGTGCACTTGTCGCCGAGATCGGGGCACGCAGCTAAGCGATCCGAACGCGGCCGCCACAGAACGATTGTGATCGTCTTTGACGTTCACGTACGGCCTGAAGCGCTGTATTTGTGGAGACATGCACCGGGAAGATAAGAGTCTCACCGGTGGTGTCTCCACGTTCTCCTTGTCCAACGTGGCCTGTCGTTCCGTCGACAGAAACCTGCGGCATCGGTTTCTGAAACAAAAAAAATGAATATTTAAATATTTACATAAAAGTACAGTATACATGATTTTTAGTTATTTACTTTATACTATTTGTTTTATTTGATTGGTTTTGTTATCTTACCTTATGTTGGCCACGAGACTGCCTGATCGCCGACTTTTTTCTTTAAATTCGACAGCTTCGGCCTCTCGTGCTCTGAACTCTTCTGAGCAGTCCGGGATGTACTTGTCTACCCCGTACGCTGTGAATCTAAAAAATAGGTACATTAATAAAAATCAAATTTGATAATGTATAACTATACCTTATAAAACTTAATCACTAAAAAGCCATAATTAGCGTTTTACTATTAATATTTTACAGTAGATAACTTACTTGTAATAGACCGAGCTGTGGTCTATAAAGAGGTCGTCTTTGACGCCTCTTTCATTCTCAATGATCATTTGCTTCAGCATCTGCTGAAGCACTCTGATACCGTTCACGCGCTTCACCGTGCGGTCGGGGAACAGCCTCCGGGCTGCACGGAACACTGTGTCGGTGGCGTCTCGTCCCGTGAAAGCGTCTGGATGACGGCTTCCACCGGCGACGCGTGGAGTCTTATTGTAGAGCTCCACGACCATCTCGTTCCACTGAAAATAGCAAAAAGATTAGTACTGCTACTAGGCATTTAATAAAATCTTTAGTTTAATAAGATAATATGTACAGTTGAAGGGTTAGAAGTGCCTTAATAGTTAAAAAAGCTTAATTAATTTTTATATTTATTTTATTATAAGTCCTTACCTTCTGAGTAGCCAAGAATCGGGCCATTTTAATTATTTTTCTTTAAAAATAAAGTGGTGATTGTTGTAACTGAAAAGAGAGATCATTAAATACAGTAATTTATAAATAAAAAACGTGTTTTGCAACAATTTGCTGAACGAACGAAAGAGAACACGAAAAATCTTGCAAGAGGTGTACAGCGAAGCCTACAAGCAACCTGTTCGCTAAACAAACTACAATCACACGTATTAAAATGGCATTCTTTGAACAATAAGAAGAAAGCATTAAAAATCGTATTGTTTAACCAATAATGGGAAAACCCGTGTTTTTATATTTGACCTTTAAAGATTTTAAAATTTCAAAAATCTAAAACTTAAAACTTTTTAAAAACCGCTAAACATTGAACCTTGGAGAAGTCATGAAAATGGCAGTAGTAAGAAACATCTTATTCATTGAATTAGCACAGTTTATACAGAAAAAGGTCCGAGTTAACCAAAAATTGAAGGGAAAAACGCGAATTCGCCAACACCTCGAAGTCACTCGACCAAATCAAGCGATCTAACGTAATCGAACACAAAAAACTAGACAAAATCCTAATTTTTGGTTAATTCGAAAGAACGTTGCGCAACTGATTACTGAAATATTGGGTTATCAGAAACAAAAACAATTGATAGAATGACAAACTGTGGAATGACAAAAACTGAAATTAGTATTCGAACTTTTAATCAAAAATAGCAAAAACTTTCTTTACAAATGAAAAATGGCAAGAACTTTATTTACAAAACGAAAAATGGCAACAACTTTCTTTACAAAACAAAAAATGACAATAACTTTCTTTACAGAATGAAGAATGGCAAGAACATTCTTTACAATGTGAAAAAAGGCAATAGCTTCCTTTCAAAATGAAAAAATGGCAAGAAACGTCTTTATAAAACCCACAATAGCAAAAACTTTGTTTGCAGAACGTTAAACAACAAAAAAATTAACTCTATCGTATAACTTGTCACTCTGCAACTCTTAAAGTTTAAAAATTTTTAAAGCAACAAAATAACCAAAAATTTTGAACAAGAAATAACTCGTAAAATGTTAACGATTGAACCAAAACCACACTACTACCTACATAGTAACGTTACTAGCCAAGAAGAGATAATGATAATAAAACCCTTTCGCACACCATAAATTAACCGTTATTTATAGCCCCGTGTTTTACTATAGTAAAAAAGTTGCAATAAAAATATTTTATAAAAAAATAAAATTTGATAACAAATTTCGACCACTACACATTTTGTTTGAAACTTCTTTATACCAGAACTCCATTATGACAAAATGTTAAATTTCGAACAATTTGTTGTGCAAGAGTTCAAGTTTCGCAGATTTTTACAATAACAAGCTATAGACATTGGAGATAAGACTTTTTATATAATATGTCTGCTAGTTGATAGTTAAAATGACATTCACAGTAAGCATATTATAATCTATCCAAATCTTCCGTTCCCGGATATTACAGTATCATCCTGTAATATCACGGAACGAAAGATTTGAATACAGTACAGTCTGTATAACAGATTGCACGGGCTTTTCGATATGTTCGTTATAAAGGAGTTTGTTTTACAACAGTTTAATGTAGACATGTGGAACGAGCAGGACCTGAGCAAAATTTAGGTCGGACCGGGCTTGGAAATCCCGAAAAAGCCGGGCTAGTTGCCACGTAGAAAAATTCGGACCGGGCCTGCGCAAAACTCAGATCTGACGTGTCTTGAAAAGTCGGCCCGGCCCGTTCCTCGTAGTTACAGTTAATTATAGAGGGGTGCATTATAAAAGATTTTGTTACAGAAAAGTTGGTTGTACATATATACAAGCCTTTTATAAAAGATTTTATTTTAAATTATTGTAAAATGTAATTTCACTTACAAGTTAATCTTCATATACAAATGTAAATCAACTATAGTCAAAAACTAAATTTTATACAAATAAGATTCTATATATTTATAACAATATCTATTCAAAACCCTAACCCAAATGAAGAGGTAATAAAACTCAAAAAACCACCATTTCCTTATAAAGCTATTTTAAAAAACTAAGAAAAAATAGACATCCGACCATCCAGCAATCAACGCATTTGCAAGGTATGAACTCGTATGAATCGATCAGCGATCGGAAGATACGAAAGCTATCAAGTCAAGTATGTTTTAGTTTCGTAGATTTTCCTCGATTTTTGTGCCTAATTATGCAATTTTAGTGCGGAATTACTTGGGCGTTTGGGGGATTACTTTTTGAAGTATGCATTATATTACACAATTACATTCTTTGGCTTTTTTTTTAAATTTTGAATAGATAAACATACATCAAAATCTAAAAAATTTTAAAATTTAGAATTCTGAATGAAAATTTTTTTTAATTTTTCAATGGGTTATACAATGGAGCTTCTGTATAACAAATAGCTAGCAAATTTTGCGTTTGTTCATCATATAGAAGCTTTGGTGTACAAGAGTTTTAAATGCAATGCGAAGCGTTGCCTCGGGATTTGAAAGTTGATCTTTGTAGAAAAGTGTATGTAAGTGCATTAGAGGAGAGTTTGTTGGAGTTTGTTATACATCAGTGTCGTAATAGAAAACAAAAACAAATATTAGATTTTTTGTAAAATACGTCTAATTATTTCTAACTTAAATTAGCTGACAATAATTTTTTGTAAAAATTTAAAATTAAATTTTTTTTTTAAAGTTTTCAACAACAGAAAAGGTAATTCTCACATTTTCATTTACTATATGAAACCATTGCTTCTCTTACTTATTTGTGCTCTTGCCTTTTTTTTGTAAGTGCTTTATCTAAAAAAGCAGCGATGAAAGAGCAAGCCTCCCGATGTCTGATTTGTTACATGTTTTAGTCTTTTTTGAATTTCTATAACTTTTAAAATTTACAAAAAGCACTTTAATATTTTTTTGATGTTTTAATATGTAAATTAGTATAAGCTTCTGTTTATTTGAAATTTTTGAGCCGTGGGTTTGTTATAGGTAAGCTGTTTAAAGGCTTAAAAGCTTGCGGAAGATCTAGTTTGGTGTAGGAAATAGTAAGTTAGTGTAGGTAGTTGTTCAACTTTTTTGAATAAGGGGGGGGGGCTGTTAAAGTAGGGAGAAAACTCTTTTTTTTGTCACCATATCTGATAGAAATACGATATTTTAAATAATAGGGCAGTTATACTTTGTATTTATTGTTCTGTTTATTTAGGTATGGGTACCGGCTTGACCGAGGAGTACGCTTTGACGTTAGTTAGAAAATGGAGGGATTTTGGAGGTGTTCAAAAGAAAAGAAAGATTGAAAGGGTAGGTTAATATCAATAACATTGGTAATTTTTCATTATTTTTATCCCTCCTCTTGTCTCAGAAAAACAAATTATTGAGTCTAGCCTAACATAGAGCCTAGCTTACTCAACTGCGTAGCTTATTCTATGCTTATCCTACTTTAAGTTTTAACTTGCTCAAAGGCCTAGTGTACCCCAGGGTCTGGCTTACCCTAAAGCCTAATTTACCCTAGGGTTTCCCCTACCCAAGGGCCTAGTCTACTCTAAGACTTAGTCTACCTTAGGGCCTAGTCTACCTTAGGGCCTAGTCTACCCTAGGGCCTAGTTATCCTAAAGCTTTTCCTATCATACGGCCTGGTCAACCCTAAAGCTTAGTCTGCCTTAAAGCCTAGTTTACTCTAGGGTTTACCTTACTCTTCCTTAACTTTCTCTACTCTACCCTACTCTACCCTACGCTACTCTACCTGAAATGTAAAATATGAATGTCCTCCTTAAAAGCTTTCTTTTATTTAGGTAACAATAAACCCATTATCAGTGGCAGATCTTGGTTTCTTGTCAGTTGTCTACAATGTGATTCTGACTTTTGACGATGAATCCGAATTCCAATACATAGTGAAAATACCAAGTTCTGATAGACTGAATGCTGATGTCACTACAGGAGCGGAACAACAAGCTATGGAAGAGTTGTTGATTATCATGCACAATAGAGAATGTTTACTTTACGAGATTCTGAAGGATATTGATGTACCTATACCTAAATTGTATGCTTGTAAGGTGAGTGTATAACTATTTGAAGCTATAGTTGTATAGGAAATAAGCCACACAGACAAAGCCGGCTACGTGGTAATGGAGAGTTTCATAGGCAGAGCTACAGTAATGGGCTTGACAGCCCAAATCACAGCTCAACAAGCCTTTGTTTTGGCCAAAACTCTGGGTAAACTTCAAGCAGAAATGGAGAAGGTACCCAAAAACCTATGGGCGGATCTAAATGACACTTTTCGAGTCGAAAAAGACCTTGTCACACCAATGGTTGAGCCACATTCGGAAATGCTGATAAAGTACGATCCTGCCACTTTTAGGCCATTGATTGAAAAGTCGAAGCCATTTATGAATCCACAGTTTACACGATATGTCAAACAGATCAAAGCGAAGGAGTTGGGTAGGTTTTGAAACTTAGAAATAAGTTGGGGGGGGGGGTGTTTTGGGTAGGCATTAGATTAGGAGAGGGGGGGGGGGAAGTGAGGTTGGGGAAGGAATGATGTTAGAGAAGGGGTTAGATTGAGCATGGTTACTATGCGCTTAAAATTAAGGGTAAGATGTGTAGGGTAAAGAGTAGCGAAAGGCTAGGGTAAAGTGTAAGGTAGGCCAAGTTAAGACAAATAAAAATAGGGTAGGGTAAACTAACATTGTAAGGGTATGGTATAAGTAATGTAGAGTAAGGATAGGGTAAAGTAGAGTAGGGTGGGGTAGCATAGGATAGAGTATGGGAGTGTAGGGTAGGGTAGAGTAGAATAGGGTAGGGTAGGGTAGGGTAGGGTAAGGTAGGGTAGGGTAGGGTAGGGTAGGGTAGGGTAGGGTAGGGTAGGGTAGGGTAGGGTAGAGTAGGGTAGGGTAGGGTAGGGTAAATTGCATATAATCTTATATCTTTTTAGGGGTAGACTCTCTTGTTCACTCTGATCTTCACGGTGGTAACACAATGTTCCAAACAAATTCTGATGGTAGTATATCAAACAAGCTTGTCACAATCTTTGACTGGCAATCTGGAGCAGCAGGCAACTCGCTTTGTGATCTAGCTGGCTTCACCTTTATGTCAGTAGATCCAGAAGTTCGTCGTGGATGCCAGCAAGAGCTTATGGACACTTTTTATGATACCTATGTGACAAATTCAAAATGTCCTAACCCCAAGTTTACTAAAGAAGTTTGTCAAGAGCTATACGAGCTGGCAATGATTCAGGCTGGACTGGAATGGTTGATGAACTTCGGATTTTTTGCTACAAAGCCAGTTGGCAAGAACCAAGCACAAAGTGAAGCCATTGTGGCTAGAATGGCATTGAGGGCGAGGTTTGCTCTGGAAGATTCGTTGAAGTTGATGGAGAAACATGATTGTCATAAGATTATGAAGAGGTTGAGAGAGTAATGTCATTAATAAATACGTATTATTTTATAAAAAATGATAAAATGACATTGAATTAAAGTTAAGTTGCGACCAAGGCCGGGCGCGAAGAGGGGAGGGGGGAGTACCCCCCTCTCCCCAGAAAAAAATTTTTGAAAAAAAAGTTGAACGTGGTTCTCTCTGTGGATTTTTGAAAACAAAATTTCGCAAAAAATCGCTAGCTACCTGTGCCGATTTTCTGAACCCCCGCCCCCAGACCAAAAGTCCCCGTCCGGCCCTGTTTGCGACTATTCATGAGTTTTAAAAAAAAGACAAGGCTGGAATAGAACTATGGTGCGACTAGGATAAGGCTAAAACAAGATTGGGGTAAAGTTAAGAAAGAGTTAGAACAGAGCTAGAAGACGGTTAGACCACAGCTGTGGTAGAGCAGAGCAGAATAGAGCAGGGAAAAACAAGACAAGGCCAGGGCGAGTTAAAGTAAGCAATTATAGAAACAAGTACACGTATCCACATAAATATATAAAGGCTACTTTGAAGTTAAAATTAATTCACAAACAATATTTATTTAATAAACATAAAACAAGTTTTACAATGTTAAATTGCCCAGTTTGTTCTGTAATTTGTCAAATGCATATTTCTCGATCAATCTAATACCATCTTCCATACACAACCTAGCTTTCAATGCCATTCTGGCTTTCAACGCTTCATTATGAAAGTCGTTTTTACCGGTCGGTTTACTCGCAAAAATTCCAAAAATCATTTGCCAATCGACCGCCTGTAATATGACTCCCAAGTCATATAATTCACGGCAAACAGCTTTTGTAAAGTTTGGATTTGGATTTTTAGAATACTGTAGATAGGTACTGTAATATGCGTCAATTAAGTCATCTTCAATCGATCGTCGTACATCCACATCCACTGTTACTCCAGTAAAGCGAGAAAGATCACATAGAGCATTACCGTATATGGCTGACTGAAAGTCGATTAGAGCTGCCAATTCATTTGAAACACTGCCGTCTGGGTTCAGCTTGAACATTAAGTTACCGCCGTGGAGGTCAGAGTGGAAGAATGAAGCTACTCCTAAAAAATATAAAACTGTTGATTTAGCTCTAGCCGGCCTAGTATAGCAGTCTTAGTAGCCTTAGCCCATAGCAGTTTTGGCAGTCTTGTAAGGCTTAGCCGTTCTAGCTGCTTTATTTTTTTTAACAGCCTTAACTGCTTTATCAGCCAACAACTTTAGCCATCCTAACTGCTCTAGCCGCCCGAGCAGCCTTAGCAACCTTAATTGTCTTAACTGTCTTAACGGTCCCCGCAGCCTTAGCAGATTGTCCGCCATAGCAACCTCAGCAGTTTTAGCTGTCGTGGCAGCCCTAGCAAACTTAACCGCCTTAGCGTCTCTATCAGCTTTAGTTGCCCTAGCAGCTCTAACAGTCCTACCAGTTCTAGCAGCCTTATCAGATTTCGCAGCTTTAGCCGTCCTATCTGCTCTATCTGCCCTAACATTTCTAACTAGACATGGAGAATGTGCCGGGTAAGGTCTGAGCAAAATTTGCTCTCGACTGGTCTGAAAATCAAAGCCCAGACCAAAAAGCCCGGCCAGTTTGCATGTAAAAACATACGGGCAGGCGCGGGCTTGAGGAAAATTTAGAACGGGCCGAGACTAACACTCAAGCCCGGCCCGTTCTTTATGTTTAGTTTAGCAGTCTTTATAGCCCTACCCAAATATCAAAACTTGCCCAAGTCGTGTGCCTTGGTCATCAAGCAATATTCGTAAAACTTTGAATTTCCATATTTCTCCAATCTATCGACCAATGGTTTGAAGGTGTTGTAGTCGTACTCTAACATAAATTGAATGTTTGGCTTGATCAATCCAGCTACAAAATCATTTTCTTGAATAAATCCGGCGTTCAGGTGTTTCAATTTATCCAAATCTAGCTTTTCTGCTTCAGCTCGAAGTTTTCCCAGCTTTCTCGCTAAATTTAGGCATTGGCCAGCGTTTGTGTGATATGATATGCCCATGATGTTGGCTTTGCCAATGAAGGATTCCATGACAAGATAACCATTTTTGTCCGCTGACGATATTGTCTAAAAGTCCATTTTTGGTTTTGTAAAGAAATTTCTTGCCATTTTTTAGTCTGTAAAGAAAGTTCTTGCCATTTTTTAATTTGTAAAGAAAGTTCTTGCTATTTTTTAGTCTGTGAAGAAAGTTCTTGCTATTTTATGTTTTTTAAAGAAAGTTCTTGTTATTTTTTGCTTGTAAAGAAAGTTCTTACCGTTTTTTACTTTGTAAAAGAAGTTCTTGCTATTTTTTGTTTTGTAAAGAAAGTTCTTGTTATTTTTTGCTCGTAAAGGAAATTCTTGCTATTTTTTTGTCTGTAAAGAAAGTTCTTGCTATTTTTTAGTCTGTAACGAAAGTTCTTGCCATTTTTTTTGTCTATAAAGAAAGTTCTTGCGAATTTTCATTTTTTAAAGAAAGTCATAGCCGTTTCAAAATTTTCGGAAATAGTTATCAGTAACTTTTCAAAAACATACTTTACAAGCATAAAGCTTGGCCATAGGAGCATCAATACTACTCAGCAAGGTATAAACTTCACATTCATGGTTATGACATTGAAACATGATGCCATCTTTGTCCTTATCAGTGACATCTGCTTTAAGCTCTTCGTTAAATCGATTGAGTGATGGGGTTTTAATAATGACAACAAATTTTGAAGAATCCTCAAAGTTGACTACAACATCGTAAACTATTGACAAGAAGCCTTGATCGTCAATTGATAAGGGTTTTACTGATACCTAAATTAAAAATTTCAAAATTATTTTAATAAAACATAGCTTTAGGCCTAGCCCAGTGACCTAGCCCGAATCCCTAGCTCAGAGCTCTAGCTCAGAGCCGTTTTCCGGAATCATAGCCTAGAATCCTAGCCCTGAGCTCTAGATCAGAGCCCTAGACCAGAGCTCTAGCCCAGAGCTCTAGCCTGAAACCCTAGCCTGGAGCCCTAGCCCAAAGCCACTGGGCTAGAATTCTGCCTTCCCAGAGACTAAGACCTAGACTTTTCCCTAGACAGAGGGTAAGTCCCTAATCTAGAGCCCTAGCCTAAAACCTTACTTTTAGCCACAGCCTTAGTCTCATTCCAAATAGCTCCAGTCTAACTCCTTCCCTCTTCCCTTCGGCTTAGCTCTAGTGGAAACCTCCGTCCTAGCTCCAGTTCTAATCGCAGTCTGAGTTTCGGTCCGACTCCCAATCCTAGCCCCATTTCTAGCCCCCGTTTTAACCTAATTCCTAGCCACAGTCCTGGTTCCAATCATAGCTTTTTTCAAATTTTTAGTGCCACTTTAAAATTAAAAAACTTACATTTTTGACCTTACTCTTCTTCTCTAACTCTCCAAATCCATCCCAAGCTCTTATCATCTCCAAGGCTTGATCTTCAGTAAGGAACTTGCCCATTTTTAAATAAATTTAAAATTTTTTAAATAAAACGTTTTGTAGTTTAGGTATTACAGTCTTAAATTATAGTGAATATAAAGTAAAATTCTGACGAAACAAAATTTAGTCAGAGAACAAGAATTCACTTTCCTTTTCGACTGATTCGAGATTATTGTCAAACAAGTGAACTGAACTCGGTAAAAAGCAATGTCTATTCAATTATAAGTAGTTACTTACTCTTTTGCTTCATTTGGTGAAAACAAGACCAGAATCATATTTGGAGTTTGAAAACACAAACAATATTTTACAATTGATCTTCCTTTATTCGTATTTTGGCTCTTACTTTGCCTACTATAGCGCAGTTTTTGTTTTATTCTACCAGCTTTAGTCTTATCTTATAAATACCCTAGGTTTGGTCATAGCTTATCTCTACTCTTTAAACATATTTTAGTTTTTTCGAGCCTTAAATAGTCATGTTTATCTCCTACTCCAAGTCTATCTTCTACCTAGCCTTACACTAGCCTTGTCTTTGCCCGGCCTTAGCTCTGCTCTTGTATTACCGGAGCTCTACACTAGCTTTCCTAAGCGATAGCTCAATCTTATCCTTACTCTATCCTAGCCTTGCTGTAGCTGTAATCTAGCTTTATGCTAGTCCTACCTTAGCCTTACTCTGGTTCTACATTGGCTCTGCTTTAGCCCTAACCTAACATTAATTTAGTCTTACCTTAGCTCTACTCTGGCTATACTCTAGTTTTTAACTGATCTTACTTCAGCTTTACCATAACCCTACCCTAGCTTCATTCTAGCTATATACAAGCCTTGCCTTAGACTACCCTAATGCTACTCTAGTCGTGCGTTAGCTTTAATCTAGTGCCTTATTCTAATTTAAATATAACTCTAGCCCAATATTTTTTTAGCTCCTAACTCAAACGAATACTGTAACTGGCGTTACAGTATTTGTTTTGTTCTAAACTTAGTTGATGTTTTCAAAACTTTTTATTTTTAACGTGATTTATTGTTAAGTAGACCACCTACAGCAGCTTATCATTAACGTCAAGCCAACCATTTTTAAAAAAGATTTATGGTCTACAGAAAACAAGTTAAACAGACTGTGAAAAATCAAAAGTTGTAGTTTTAACACGACACATTGACGATATTTCAAAGAGTTACAAACTATAACTTCCAAAAGTTATAGCGATCAATCATTCACGCAAGATTGTTAACTTTTCTACTTAACAACGTGACTTGTTTGTTTCTTATTCTTACGGTGTAGCATTGATGTATGTCTTGCTCTGTGGCGTTCGTTTTTTGTGTGCAGTGGAACTTCTGTATAACACATCACTTGAAGATTTGAAATATGTCATTTGTTATATAAAGGAGTTTTGATATAGAGGAGTTTTCAAAGCACCTACAGCGTGGTGCTAGCTATTTCATCTATTATATAATACGTACATTACCTCTACAGAAAAAACCTTGTACTTCTTGTACCGTTCTTTTACTATTTTAGTACAAGCAAAATGTCTTTTACAATTTCGCATCGTCTAAGTCGTTTCAACTTTGCAATTATCATCTAATTTGTTTTGACAGACTGTCTTTTAAAACAGTAGTATTTATAGTATGGCTGACGGTAACATCAACTCTATCAGTTAGACGGTATAGTCATAGAGTTAGGATTTTAAGCGTCCTCTTAGACTTAAGTTTAAAGTGTTTTACTTAAGTTCAGAGTGTGCCTTGACTTATTTTTATGCGTACGGTTAGGCTTTGGTGCAGTGTTAGTATATATAGTTTGTCTAGGCAATGTGTGGGCATGGTATCACAACATGTTTAATATAAAATCGTTTGTTAATTGAAAGTTTGCTTTAAATAACAGTTTATTTTTTTATCTTACAGAGGCCAAGTTAAGTTGATATGGGAAAGAACTTGTCAGAAGACTACGCTTTGTCTTTGATCCGAAAATGGGATGGCTTTAGAAATCTGGAGAACAAAAGCAAGGTTAAAGAGGTATGTTTTACAGTAGTAAGCTGTATTTTTACTGCATATTGATTACTGATTTTTTTGTTTTTATTGTATTATAAACAACAAATTATAACTAAATTAATTCAAGTAACAAAAAACTTTCAAAAGTGTTTTAGGTATCAGTCCAGCCCTTATCAATAGATGAACTAGGCTATTTGTCGATTGTTTACAGTGCCAAAGTTACATTTGAAGATGGCTCAACGTTTCCATATATCATTAAAACACCATGCATTGATCGGTTTACCGGGACAATGGATGATGAAAAAGGTTTCAGTGATATGGATGAGTTCTTGTTTACATGTCACAACCGTGAATGTAAAATGTATCAGATACTCAGTAGCATCGATGTCAAGGTTCCAAAGCTATTTGCTTCTAAGGTAGGAAAAAAAATCAGATTTGAGCTTATACTTTGTTTTAGAGCTGAACTTTTGCTTTGGCATAAGCTTATGTTTGGGTTAAGGTGGCTAGAACTTACGCCAGGACTTAGGCTAGAGCTTAGACTAGAGCTTAAGATTTAAGATTGGGCTTAGGCTATGTAGATTAGGTCTTGGGTTTAAAATTAAGCTTAAGCTTTGGTTTAGGATCAAGCTCAAGCTCAAGTTCAAGCTCATCTTTAGTTTCAGGCTCAGGCTCAAGCTCAGGTTGAGGCTCAAATTTAGGCTCAGGCTGAAGCGGAAGCTGGAGCTAAAGCTAAATCTCAAGCTCAAGCTCTATCTCAAACTCAAGCTCAATTTCAGGCTCAGGTTCAGATTTCGGCTTGTGCTTATGTTTAGACCTAAATTTTAAGCAAAGTATTAGCCTAGGCTTTAGCTTATAGTCAAGTTTAATTTTGCTTTTGGATTTAAAAATTTACTTTAACTTCAGGAAGCCACTCTTCAAGACAAAAACGGTTACTTAGTAATGGAATCATTCATCGATAAAGCTACAATAATGTCACCTGTATCGCAAATTACACCAAAACAGATCCTTAGTGTAGCCTCTAACTTGGGTAAAATACGGGCTGAACTTGAGAAGCTAGACCAAAACCAGTGGAATGAATTGAATGACACTTTTCGATTGGACAGAGATTTGGTCGGCGAAATGATGGAGCCTAATATTGAAAAGCTATTGAAGTACGATCATGACACTTTTTACCCACTGTGCCGGAAGCTGAAGCCTTATTCTGGGCAGAACTTCTTCGAATATGTTTTACAGACCAGAGCTAAAGACTTGGGTAAGATGTTTTTGAATTTTTTATACTAAAGCACTTTTTAAATACCTTATCCATGCCTACCTCAATATCTTATTTTCAGGCGTAGAGTGGCTGGTTCACTCCGATCTTCACGGTGGTAACTTGATGTTCAAAAACAACCCAGATGGCAGTATTTCACCAGAATTGGCCACCATAATCGACTGGCAATCCGGCTTTTCAGGCAATTCTTTGTTTGACCTAGCCAGATTCGCTTGCATATCAGCCGACGCTGACATACGACGAGGTTGTGAAGAAGAAGCTGTTAACTCCTACTATGACAGTTATATTAAACACTCTAAGAACCCGAATCCAAAATTCACACGAGAAGTTTGCCAAGAGCTGTATGAGTTAGGAGTAATCTTGGAGGGGGTGGAGTGGCAGATTATATTTGCCTTTTTTGGAAACAACCCTCCAGGCAATAACGAAGGACAAATTGAAGCTATCAGGGCTAAAATGGCATTAAGAGCACGACTTGGAATGGAAGATGCGCTGAGTTTGATAGAAAAACATAATTGTAAACAAATTGTGGATAAGTTACCGAGCAAAGTGTTTTTGTGAATAAATATGACAATGTTGAACCAATGTTTTATTTGCCTTGCCTTGCCTTGCCTTGCCTTAAGTTTGGTTTTACAACAGCTTCAATTATCTACATGGATATGTGTTTATTAGTTTTTATAACTGTAAATATGTTACAAATGTAATAAATATAAACAACAAGACCGACATAAAACTAAATAATACTATTTACAATCGAAAATTCAACTGTTAATGACTTTGATAATAAAAAAATATTAAACAATGTCATTTGCAATAACAACAATCTAAAAATAAAAGTATTAAAACAATTTTTTATAAAAAATAAAGTAAAATACGTAAAAAGAAAGGCACGAGATACACAAAGCATTAGACTCATAGCAAATGGCTTTACTTTTGTGGAAAGATATACATGAAGGCAAGTATAACATCATAGTAGTTTCAAAAATACCCAACTTAACGCAATAAACAAAATTCAACCCTTAGGCATTGTAATGAATAGCCTCAGGAATCAAGTTCAACTCCTTCCTCGACACCTCTCTCAAGATGTTCTTCTTCACCTTACCAGTCACAGTCATCGGGAAGTCGGTCTCCTTCTTGAACAACATGTACCTCGGTACCTTGTAGTGGGCGATCTTGCCCTTGCACCAGTCCTTCAACTCTTGCTCAGTAAACTTCTCATACCCATCCTTCAGCCGAATCCACGCACACAACTCTTCACCAAATCGCACGTCCGGTACACCCACAACGTGAACATCAGCAATGGCGTCGTGAGTGAAGAGGAACTGCTCCACCTCGGCGGGGTAGATGTTCTCTCCGCCTCGAATAACCAAGTCTTTCGATCGACCAGCAATCTTGACACTACCGTCCTTCTCCATGATACCAATGTCACCAGTGTGATACCAACGGTCGGGTGTGATCTCCTTGCGCGTCTTCTCTTCGTCGTCCCAGTAGCCACGCATCACACTGTAGCCACGAACACAGATCTCTCCGGGCTCTCCAATGGGAGTAACGTGACCTTCGGCATCCGTGATACTGACTTCAACGTGCTCACAGATAGTACCAACCGATTCCCAACGCTTTGGTGCTTCTTCTTCGGCACGGACCATTAGGCACATTGGGGAGACTTCGGTAGAGCCATAGGCAATGGCTAGCTTGGTTAGGTTCATTTCTTCCGACAGTCGCTTCATCATGTCTGAAAAAGGAGAATATAAAAGATTTTTTAACTGTAAAGAAAGTTCTTGTCATTTTCTGTTTTGTAAAGAAAGTTCTTGCCATTTGCATCAAAAAAACCATTTTTGGGCTTTGCAGGCTGCGGGTGACAATTTATACGATAAGACGTATTTTCCTTTTGTAAAGAAAGTTCTTGCCATTTTTTGTTTTGCAAAGAAAGTTATTGCCGTTTTCTTTTTGTAAAGAAAGTTCTTGCCATTTTTCCGTTTTTAAAGAGCTCTTACCCCTAGGACAAGGCGCTCCAGCGACCATTCCATTGTAAAGCGATGAGACATCAGTATTCTTCAGATCCGGATGATTCAAGCAGTCAATAAACATGGTAGGGGTACCAAACAGTGAAGTCACCTTCTCCTGGTTTATGGCATTCAAAGTCGACTGGGCATTGAACCAAGCCGCGGGGAAGATGGCGGTTTGTTGATGAACCACCGAGCTCAACTCTCCACACACCGAACCGAGACAATGGTACAGTGGGTTTGGTACACAAATCTTGTGCTCACCCTTGTCGAACTCTAGTCGTACTCCAGTGAACCAGGCGTTGTTAACAATGTTGTGATGGGTCAAAGTGGCAGCCTTGGGATGACCGGTGGTACCGGAAGTAAATTGGATGTTGGCTGGATCGTCGAATCGTACTCGGTTCTCGTGTTCGGCTTGAGTTTTGCGAGCATTTGAGCCGTTACCACCTTCAGCTACGTCCTTGAGGTTCCAGGCGCCACGAAGATTGGTTTCGTTGCGGAAGACAATGAGATGCTTAAGGTCGGGCAGGTTCTTGGAATGAACACTACCACAGCCATCGGGAAGGATGGTTAGTTCTGGGATGATTTCATAGATCGTGCTGAAATTTTTATATTTTGTACAGGCTTAACTTAAGAGTTGGCAGACATTTTTGGCAATTTTTAAGGTTGTAAAGAAAGTTCTTGCAATTTTTTGTATTGTAAATAAAGTTCTTGCTATTTCTGTCAAAACAAGCTATTTTTCTGGTTTGCAGACTGCAAGTGACAAGTTATACGATAAAAAGGATTTTTTGTTTTGTAAAGAAAGTTTTTGCTATTCCTGATTATGTAAAGAAATTTTTTGCCATTTTATGTTTTGTAAAGAAAGTTTTTGCCGTTTTTTGTTTGTAAGGAAAGTTCTTGCCATTTTTTTGTAAAAAAAGTTCTTGCTATTTTTCATTTTGTAAAGAAAGTTCTTGTCATTTTGAGCTTTGAAAGAAACTTCTTGCTATTTTTAATTTTTTTGCTATTTTAAAAATAAACTTCAAAATTTTTGTAAAAAAATAAAAACTCACTTATAATACTTGCTTTTTCTGAACTCGGGCGGCGTAATCAGCGCAGAAACTCCCACCTTCCTCAAAGCATACCTCAACTCTTCAGTTTGATAGCCAGGATTGATGTTAACCAAGCAGAAGCCACCCAAAGCAGCCGCATACTTGGTCAACAGCCACTCGTAGTAGTTGGGGCCCCAGATGCCGATTCTGTCGTTTCGATTCAGACCCAGATTACAGAAGCCGGCTGCCAGCTGTGTAGCCTCCTTGTGGAACTCTTCGTACGTTTTTCTGATGTTATTCTCAACAAAGACGCAAATCTCTTTGTCTGGTACGGTTTCAGCACCAATTCGCAGTCTCTGCCCAATTGTGTGGTTGAGGAGTGGTGCTGGTGTAGCACCGTGCACGTAACTGTACTGAGTTTCCACGTCGGGCACGGGGCTTTTGACTGCGGCGAATTGCTTCAGCTTATTGGCCGCTTTTGTGTAGCGTGGGAGAGAGGTTTTCAACGCCATTTTTATGAGGTACTGAAAGTGGGAGAGGTAAAATTTAAAAGTTTGATGGATAAATGAGTATACGCTTTTGAATCAAGAGTACCGGGTGTTAAAAACATTGAGGAAGTTCAAGTACATAACGTGTTTTGTCTTTTCATTATCACGAGGTTTTAGTGTAAAGAAAAACAATATCATTTATCTTTTTTTTTCTTTTGCTTCAACTTATTAATAAAAAATTAGATGGCAATTAAAGGAAGAAAAAACAAACTTTATCAACTGTTCGAAATGGACTTTTTATCTTATATTTACCCACCCTACCCTGCCCTACCTGACCCTGCCTTACTATATTGGCTTCTACGTGTAGCCAAAATTATAAGCCTAAATACCGGCTAACCTAAACCAAAACAATGAAAAAGGTCTGTTTTTGTCGACTTTTGTAAAAATCCTAAAAGCTTTGTTTACTAAAGTCAATATTAAAACCTTTTTTAATTAACTCTGCCATTTTAAATCTCATTTTTAAATAAATTCTCAAAAATACAATTTTATGTTATTTCAGTCGACTGAAACAGTAAAAAACTTTGTCTTAAACACAAATCTCAAAAATTAAAGGTTTTTGCTTTTAGGCTAAAAATGATCATATTTATTCTTAATACTAACTTTAAAAATCAAGATTTCTACCTTGAAATTAAGCCTTAAAGTAAAAAATCCTTACATTTTTCGTAAGCTTATAAAAAATTATCTTTACTAGTGAACGTATACTCAAAACCTCAAGTCTTCTACCTTAAACATAATCCTAAAACTTCAGGATAACTACTTTAGGCATAACCTTAAAATTAAAAATTTTTATTAAATACAAACACTTAAAATTTAAAATTTTATTTGAAATATAAGCCATAAGTTTCAAAACTGCTAGCTTAAAGATAAGTCTTAAAGTTTGAAATCTCTACCTTAAACATAAACCTTAAATTTCAAAGTCTCCACATTACATAAGCCTTCAAATGTAAAATCTTTATTAAAAAACTTAAGCCTAAGCCTTAAAATTCAAAACTTCTACTTTTCACATAAGCCTCAAAATCCAAAATCCCCAGCCAAAAATGCTTTCCCTTCCCTTGCCATTTCGTACTTTATATACCAAACCAAATTGTCTCGGCGTGTACGTTCTTTGACATTATTACTCCACCTATCTCGGCGGTTATTCTCCACCTCTCATTTGTTTTCCTTCATCGATGTTCTTTAGAACCGAACAACGTGACAACCGCAAAATAGTACGACGATAAGAGAGAGTGCAGACCGACGGGTCGTAAGTGATAAACAGCTGCTTGAATTTATTCTTTAACCACGTTCTTTGCTGCCTGATAATGGGGATGATGGCGATCAAAGAACTTGGTCATTATCGCAAGTCGCGCTGAAGGCGAACTTGGCTCGGCCGCTGATTGTTAAGTTGCGACTAACTGTCAATATTGTAAATATTTGTTCATGTGCTGGGTTGTTTACTTTTAGATAATGTAGGTTTTATAAGCACTTTTGCAGTCGCTTTGTTTAAAAAATAGATTTTTAGGTGGTTTACCAAGTTAAAATAATTATGTAGAGTTATAATAGAATAAAACACGGTAAAATTTAAAATAGGCAGAGTAAATTTGCAGTAAGGAAAGCATATACTTAAGGCGTAGACTAGGATTAGGGCTTTGGTCTAGGTCAGGCTTCTAAGGATTTTGCTACGACTATATATTAAGCTGAGACTTAGGCTTTGGCTTAAGCTGCTGTTAGGGCTAGTGCTCTGGGCTAGGGCTCTGGGCTAGGGCTCTAGGCTGAGGCTCTGGGCTAGGGCTCTGGGCAAGGGCTCTGAGTTAGGGCCGTGTAGTTAGAGCTTTAGGCTAGGGTTAAAGCATAGCATTTTTTCAATAAAAATAGATCTAAGGATCACTCATCAACTCTTTGTAATTAATGAAAACAGATTTCTTTTTACTCTTTTTTTTACTGTGTACTATCAACATTAGGCTAGACGATTCTAGAAAAGTATGAAAAGAGAAGAGGTAAATTAGTGGACAGCATATTTTGTTTGTACTTTTAACTCTTTGATTTTGATATCTATTTTTATTGTTTTTTTAATTGTATTTTATATTTTAAATATTTTGCATTTATACTCTATTTAAAAGCGTTGATTTTAATTTTAAGGTTCAGCACAGTTGGGATAGATTAGTACCAGACTTGCGTTGACATAGAATTGTTATCAGCGATAGTGCCCTTCAAAGTTAAAATTTCAAAAATACCTTTTAAGGTATTGCACTATTCAAACCTGAAAATAAGCCAAGTCGAAGAAAATTAGACCTGAAGACAAGTAAGACAAAAAGTACGGATCGTATTAAAGCCTACGAGTCTGTCGTAAATGAAGACCCCAGAAGCCCAACTTAGGTACCGCAACGAAACATTTTACTTACAAAAAGGTGTAAAACAACTCTGATTTTAATGCTGTTTACTTAAGAATGATAACGCCCGACCTCTTTTCAGGACTAATAGTATGAATATTAGATTTTAACTAGTCACAAACACTACAACTGGTTCTAGCCGCTTATTTATTATTATTTATCAGTTATTATTCTTTACAAACATCTTCAAAGCTAATGGGTATTATGTTATCAAAAATCAAATTTAAAAAAAAACAAAAACTTATTTCCTCAACTCTCATTTCAAAAAGAATCAAAAACAGAATACAAATCAAGAAACATTTAATCAAAGAACGCCGTCCCTTTGTGTGATCTCTGGACGGCTTTAACACATCTTACAAGACGTTCCACATGTTCCTTTGATAAAGCTGGTCGGATAATAGGCGTTCTGGCAAAAATTGTTCTCAACGTACTCTTTGCAGCTGGAATTTTAATACAATGTAAAAAGCGGTCTTTCATAGTACAGTGGAGCTTCTGTATAACCAATCGTTTAGAATCTTTAATTTTTTTTTCATTGTAAAAGTAGGGTATGATAGATAGATTAGGGTAAGGTAGGATAGTTAGAGTAGGATAGGGTAAGTTAGAGTAGAGTAGGGATTGCAAATAAATTACTCCGTTATACAGGATTTTTGTTATATTATACAAGAGTTATACGTAACAAAAATTAAATTTCTTTTAATTTTTCAAAAAAAATTTAAAGCTGAAAAATGCTAATTTTGTCATGTTTAGTCACATGCATTAACTGTGAATTTTAAAACTTGTTATTCTTTCCCGCACAATTAAAAAAAATTAATTTGAAAAATATTGAACTTTGTCTTACTTGTTAATTGCTTAAAACTTCTTTAAAATTTAGTTTAGTTTAACTGTATCAAGTGCTACTTTAGCCCTATTCTAGCCTTTTCCTACTTCTATTTATTATAGCCCTACTTTTCACTCCTCCCTTCTTCAAAAAAAATTTTTTTAATTATACAGGGCCCCTGTGGACCCTTTTTCCGCAATTTTTTTTTTAATTTTAGCTTTTTAAAATGTTTTCAGAATGGAAAGAACCTCATGTACTTGTATTAGCCATATTTTTCTATCCTACCATCTTAAAGCCGATGTTTGGCACGGTAAACCCTACTATACCATTCTTAAGTTTTACCTGTTGTAGCGCAAAACAAATGCCAACCTGTACTTAACCAAGCCAATAAAAAAGTAAATCTAGTACCCTGCCCTATCTTGCGCTACCATATCCTACTCTACTCTACCTTACCTTACCCTACTCTACCCTTCCCACTGATCATACCCTACTATAATAAGATACTATAATATAAGAAAGTTCAATGCATATCATCTCTATTTTTTCCAAAAACGTGACCAAAACCCTTTTTCTGCTATTAACCATGTTTTAATAGATAAATAATTGTTTTATCAACAACGGCTACAAACGAAACGTACTTTGGATCAGTGTCGCCGCACTCAACATTACAAAGTTTACAGCTTTTCGGACACAACTGCTCCATCAAATTGGTGTAGGGCTGGAAAACAAGTTTATTAGTGTTAGGGTAAGGTATACTCACCTCCACAAAAGCTAAAAAAGCAAGGTTTGTCGTTTTTGTAAGAAATTATGTTTACAATTACCCTACCTTACCCTACCCTACCCTACCCTACCCTACCCTACCCTACCCTACCCATCCCTACCCTACCCTACCTTACCCTACCCTACCCTACCCATCCCTACCTTACCCTACCCTACCCTACCCCTACCCTACCCTACCCTACCCTACCCTACCCTACCCTACCCTACCCTACCCATCCCTACCCTACCCTACCTTACCCTACCCTACCCTACCCTATCCTGGCTCCATGACTTACTTATCATAGTCTTGCTCTGCCCTACTCTGTCCTAATCTATCGTATCACTTCGTACAATGTCCTGGCTTAATCTAGTCCTGTTCAACTCTTCCTTATCCTACCTACCCTGCGCTATCTTTTCTTACACAAAATCTTCGCTTCCTGGCTAGGCCTAGTCTATTACGTTCTATTAATCTTTTTATAGCCCAGTGCCAACCTAGACATGACCTACCCATTGATTACAAAGTTGAGTCTTTTCTGGGCAATCATTGGCTTTGTCAGTGCATGAGCCAGCTGAAGTTGATTTAAAAAATCATTATTAAAACTTCAATATTAAAAAATTAAAATTCAGGTCGTGCCATTTTAGACTTACAATATTTCAAAAAAGCATCAAACAACATGAAAAATGACACTATCAAACATCCAATTAGCAAAAGATTGCCAATATTTTTGAAAACTTTTTCTGGGTATAGATAAATTGGAACCATATTCATGACTTTTCAATTTGAAAAGTGTAGAGAACTCTTTAAATTAAAAAAAATTTTTAAATAAAAAAAATTTTGAAAAAAAGTTTGATTAAGATTTTGGATATGAACTTAACCAGTTGCACGTACGAACTGTGGTTTTATTGAACTATAATGCCTAATGTGACTCAAAACAGGCTTCGGAAGCTGTTTAAACATCAGAAGAACTTTTAAAAACAAGGTTTTTTAAAACTTTTACATCTGTTTTGACTAGACCTACAAGTGAATTCTTTCGTTGTGGGACCTAGAATAGGCTCAGCCCTCGGGGCTTTGGTTTGGACTCGGCCCTTGAATCTACATGTTTCGGCACGGCTCGGCACAGCCCGACTTGACCCAGCAAAACGCAAACGATCCAAGCCCGACCGAGGTCAGCGGTGTTCAGCTTAAGTCAGACTAGTCTAACCTTTCCAAGTTAAGCTTAACCCAGCCAAGCCCAAACCAAGTCCTGCCCGGGACCGGACCTAGTGGGCCTTTTATTGACAGTCTATATTAACAAAGACAATATATCATCAAACACACTCACCTCCACAATACAAACACGTTTTAGCACAATACCCCTTCATCAACTTGTAGTAGATGTTAATATAGCACACCTCTTTGATCACATCACAATCATTCAATTTATCTTCACAATCAGTCGACGTATACGAATAGGTTTCCGTATCAGCGTCATCGTACTCTACTACGTACGTTTCGTCATTGTTCAGATCAATAGTTACACTCGTGACTTCAGAATAAATTAGGCTTATAAAGGTGGTGAAAAAAATTAGAGTGTGCAACAGAAAATGTGCCATTTTATATTGATGTTGTAGGGTGGGGATGGTGAAATTGATGGAGATAGTGTAGCAAAGAATAAGCTTTTTAGTAGTAGTACTTAGAAAATGGCACAATTAGTAGTTTTTAAGATATAAAGCTTTTCCCGATATTGTACTAGACACCTGATGTGCCTCAGACAAATTGTGCCAAAACTAATGAAATATTTTAAAATTTGAAAACTTGGATATTGTAAATTACTATTGGAATGAGAATCCTAGTCTTTATAAAAATTCCCAAGCTTTTGTCCTCGAAACATTAAAATTTCAAAAAAATCCAAGCACCTCCAATATTAAACCTGATGGATAATATAGAACAATACACTGATTCCAACCAGCTTGTGATAGATAAAATAGCTCCAAACAAGACAAAATTAAAATGTTTTTACGTTTTTTAATACACATATGGGCATACAAACGCCTCACATCCAGGCCCTTGTTCGTCATTGTTTCTGCTGTATGTTGTACAAACATAGTGGACATTTTGCATTATTACTACAAAATGTTTCAGGAAAAGTTATTGTTAGACTTGTTTACAAGTAGTAATGATGTTGTTTTCGCTTAATTGTAAACAAATAATTGGATTAGATAGCAAAAATATGTTCTTTTAAATCAATTTAAAAAATTTTTTGAGTTTTGCAAAATTGATGGCATGGTTAACATAATATGAGCCATAAATCAAAAACTAAATTAGAAAATTGTATGAAATTTTACAGTAACATTAAAAAATGTCTTTTCTATCATATAAACTGCTAAAATTACAAAACATTCAATGAAAAATGGCAAACCAGATCAATTTCCAAAACTTGCCATCGATATCATGGTTAATATAAAGTCAGCCATAAATCAAAAAATACGTTACAAAGCACTATCAAATTTTACCATAAAATAAAAAAACGTGTTTTCTGACATAAAACGTACCAAGCTACAAAAGATCACATTAAAAGTGGCAAATCATATCAATTTCTAAAACTCTTCATTAATATCATGGTTAATATAAAATCCTTCAAACCCCCAAAACTGATGCACCAACAGCTCCAAAACCTCACATTAACACAGAAAAATAACTTTTCTATTTAAACTATCAGTTTATTCAAAAAATATACGCAAAAAAGTTCTAAACTGTACAATTATCGATATGTAGTTATCTTGAAGGCAAGGTTAATATTTTGATATCTGTTATGGTGATATGGCAAGTTTTAGACCAAAAAATTGACTATATAAAGTAAAAATATACAACTACTTACAAAATCTACGCATTTTAGACTATAAAAGTTGTAAACAAAGTTTTTTCACTTAAAAATAGGATTTTTACCTCAAATTTCATTCAAAGGTCAAAAGATCTGTCAAAACGTGCAAAAACTTTGTTTACAACTTTAAAATTTTTTCATTTTTTAACAAAATAGTTTCTAAACAGTAATAAAAACTATAACGTACAGGTTTCAGTATGTAAACGTCAAAAAATCGTTATTCATCATCAGTATATACGTTATCACGGTTCAGGTCCTCATCGGTATCTACTTGATCGGATATTTCGTACATTAGTATGTGAAACTCTTCTGGACTGTCAGCGTAAACGTGGTGACCAGAGTTAGTGAACTGAAATTTAATTTTTACCATTATTAACCATGTTATACGATCAATCATGTCCAACCACATAAAATTTTTTTTTCTGAAGCTTCATTCCCTTACCTCCATACGAATATAGCAATCGCTACGATGGTTCTGAACCTCATAGTACGGTTCCGGGCTGATATTACTTCTAGTGCCACATATAAAGGTCACCGGAACGTTAGAATCAATGCCTACGAATCTCTCAATCATTGGCCGCTTTGGCCAACAGAAATCGTAGCTAAGATAATGTAAAGCTGATTCGCCTGTTGGATTTCGGGCATTTGCTTGATATATGTATTCGTATATTGCATTAGGGTCTTCTGAGTTAAATTTTTTATACAAATCGCCTCGAAAACGGCGAAGAAATGGAGGTGCTAAAAGGGTTATGGATAATATAAGAAGAAAAAGGTGAAAGAAAGAAAAAACAAACAAGTTTTTAGAGATAAATTAAGAAAATTAATCAAAAACGGTTTTAAAATCTATCCAAAACAATGAGAATGCATAAAAACACCGTAAAACAGAAAAATATATAAAGATACTTACCTAGCTGACCCAAAAACCTCAAAAGCGTCAAAGGATTGAACTTGGACAAGTAATATCCCAATGTGTGTATCCATTGGTAAGCATAGCTCTAAAACAATATTATAAATTCAAGTCACATCTGTTTACCTGCTCATCATTCGGCTTCGGCACAAATCCCCAAGGATCCAACAACACCAAGTGCCTAACATGACTTGGGTGCTCCAAAGCGTACGAAGCAGCCAAATATCCACCTAAAACCCAATACTAATTACAAAATAAAAAACATACCTAAACCATGTCCAACCAGGATCATCTTCTCTATCTTCATCTCTCTCCGCCAGTCTTCTATAGTTCGAACCCATTCCAATTCAGCCAAAGTTGGTTCGGCTGGAAAATCTGGCCTGGAACTTTTACCCCAACCAAGCAAATCAAAAGCGTATGTAGTGCGCTTCTTTGACAACTCATCAAGATTCTGATTCCACACAGCTTTGCCCAAAAACATGTCATGTAACAGCACAAACGGGATATCTTGTTTTTCAGCTTCTAATGGCTCTTGCTTGGCTATAAGCGTGTCTACCAAACCATTCCAATGTCTGACCTGTAATGTTTGTTACTGTTAGCTAGATTATAAAACTGACTTTCAAAAAAGCTTAAATACAAAGTCTTTCATCAATTCTCAACCGAGATATACCTAAAAGTAAACACTAACATCTAATAGCATACCTTAACTTTCTTGAACTCTAACTTTGTCTTGACGCTGCTTAATAAGCTCTTCTCCATATCATTTAATCTTTCTAAACTAGCCGCTGGCCATGGTATATAGTTTCGAGGATCGTAAACACCAAGATAATAGTTAGTTTCAACTTTTGTTTCTGGACTTTGTACCTCCATAAATATTAGATTTTTAAGAAAAAACAAAACTCCAACTGATAAAAAAGTGAGTATTTACACTAAAGAAAAGTATTATATACAAAAGAAGCAATCGTAATCTAATTACAAGCTGTTGTTGTTGAAAAACACCAAAAAGTCGCAAACTTTATTTCACAAAAATGTTTTTATTTTAGTCCCACCGCGAAACATTTCAATGCGAAAATTTCGTGGCATCTTGTGGCAGGTTTTTTGCGAAATTTTTTGGGCCTTTTGGCCAGGAAGTTTTTGATCGTTTTTCAGTCGAAGTGTTTGTCAAAGGGTTAGCTTTTGTCAGTTTTGTTAAGCATATAACGTCTGCGTTCGGTTTAGTTATGTGTAATATTATAAACGACGAGATTTTTTGAGTTTTTGCGGGTTTTAGGGGGTAAAGCTATATTTTTGGTAGTTTAAAGTGATGTTTAGAAGTTGCAGTTGGTTTCATTTGTGAAATTAAGTATGTACACAAGTTTTTTTAAACAAAATATATTGTTTTACAAAGGTTTGTGTTAATTTTTTTAAATTTCTAATTTTTAATTTTTAGGTAACAAATTTTAATAAAATTGAAAATTTTTGTAAAATACGCTGTTGATATTATGATAAAGCATAGAAACTTGTTTATAGTGCTATTTGTTCTATATTATTGGTAATTTTCATTTTTGTTACCTAAAATTTAAAAAATTGAAATTTTCGAAAATATGATGATATTTATGAAAATTTGTGTGCAAGAGGGTTTAAAATGCTATTTTAGACAATGTTTTTCACTTTTATCTTTTTTTTACCCAAAAAAATAAAAATTGTTTGTATCAGTCAAGCCATGTGTAATATACCTTTTATACCACGTTTTTTCAAAAGGTATGGTCATACATGTCTTATAAGTCCGCTTGAAAATATAAACTAGAAACGTAAGGTGCGCCGATGTCTGATCGAGTGCGCTGCGAATTTGTTATCGAACTTTACCATCACTAATCAATTTACTTTTTGCTTCGGCTTGTTCTTCGACCAAATAAAACGTGATTGCGTTTTTTGGTTTGAAAAGGACGAATTGAGGTTGTTATGGTTCAATATTATCTATAGGCTTTCTATAAGAAATTGTATCTATAGGCTTTTGATTCCATATCAATAACATTTTGTTTTGCTAAAACATTATTAAAAATATATTTATATCAATATAAATTATCTAAAACTTCAGGTATTAGTATATTGCTGGTGAAGATACTTTTTTGTTGGAGTGATATCAATTTGGCGTGATTTACGGTAATTTTTTGATGTTGTGGTAGATGAAAATTGATTAAAACTTGGAAAATTGGTTGTCTAAAACAAGGTTATATCGTTTTTTTACTTTTATAGCTGTAAAACCTAACAAACCCCCATTTCAGTTGCCTAAAACCAAACATTGGGGATGGCCGAGACCTCAGGTGGAGACTACGAGTCCCTCAGTCCGACCTACAAGCTATGGGTCCATTTGACAGCCGGCGCCATGGCCGGTGTAGCTGAACACTGTGTTATGTTTCCGTTGGATTCGGTCAAAACTCGTCTACAAAGTCTGTGTCCATGCCCGGAGACCAGTTGCCCCACTCCAATTCATGGTGTGGCCTCGATGGTACGACGAGAGGGATGGTTGAGGCCGTTACGAGGTGTTAATGCTGTAGCCACTGGGTCAATACCTGCTCATGCACTTTACTTTTCTGCTTATGAGAAAATGAGAGTAAGTTGTTTGAGGTTTTTGTTTGATTTTTAGGTTTTGACATGAATAACATGGAGGTTTGGATTCGGAAAGGAAAAGAGTTGAAGAAATGAGTATCTAACATGTTAGAAGAAGCTTTTTTTATAGTTTATAGGTATTGAGAAGGGTTAAACTGATTATTTTTTTAAAGGTATTAAGAAGGCCTAAAATAGTATTTTTGGTAGTTTTTAGGTATAAAAAGGCTGGAACTTAGTGTTTCGTTAATTTCTGAGCAAGAAAACGGCTTAAATTTTCGTTTTTGTAGATTTTTATACAAGAGAACGTTTAATATAAGAATGAGCAAGGTTTTTTAGGTATAGAAAGATTAGAAATTAAGTTTTTGTTGATATCTATATGAAGAAAGTGCTAAAACTTTATTTTTTGTAGCTTTTTTAGTCAGAGTAAAGGTTAATATAAGAAAGAACAGGGGATTTTAGGTTTGAAAAGGTTTAAAAACGAAGATTTTGCGTATTTTTAAGCATGAAGAAAGTAAAAAGTACATTTTTTGTCATTTTAGGTAACAAAACTTTATGAAACATACTTTACAAAACTTGCAATTATTATAAACCCCTATCTTCAGGATTTCCTAACCGGTTCCACCCGCTCCCACTCAAACACGTTAGCTTATGGAGCAGCCGGCGCCTGTGCTACCGTTCTCCACGATCTTGTTATGAACCCGGCCGAAGTGGTGAAGCAACGAATGCAAATGCATTGTAGTCCATACGGAGGCTCGTTGGAGTGTGCACGATGCATTTATCGAACCGAAGGCATTTCCGCATTTTACCGGTCGTATTCGACCCAACTCATCATGAACATACCCTTCCAAGCCGTCCATTTCATGACCTACGAGTTTCTACAGAAAGTCCTGAATCCGACTCACAAATACGATCCCAGAAGTCATTTGATTGCGGGTGGATTAGCTGGAGGTATTGCGGCGGCACTCACCACGCCCTTGGATTGTGTCAAAACGGTTTTGAATACTCAACAAACGCCAGAGATCGAGTGCAAGAATAGAAGGATATTGTTGAAGGCTAGCAGGAGCTATGAGGGTAAGATTGTGGGCTTGTTTTTATGGGGGAGGGGTGGATTTCTATAAAAAAAAGAAAGGGAAGGGTCTGAAGAAAAAATAGGGAGAAGGGACTTTTTGGCATTTAAAAGTTTTTTAAGCCTAAAAAACGAAAAAAAAAATATTTTTTAAGATTAGAGAGGCATTTTTAAGCCTGAAATTTCAGTGTTAAGCCTAAAAATTATTTTATGCATACGAGGAATTCATCAAGCCTAAAAACTCATTTTAAGCCTAAACTAACATTTTTAAACTTGAAATATTTCTTTTAATCCTAAAATGGACATTTTTAAGCTTAAAATCTCAGCTTTAAGCTTAAAAATAATGTTAACCTTAAGTTAAAATTTTTAAGCCTAAAAAATTATTTTAAGCCTAAAGAAGGTTTTTGGGCTTAAAAGCAAATTTTTGTTTCTAAAGTTTCAGTTTTAAACCTAAAACTTTTTCCATTCTAACGATGACACTTTTAAGGCCTAAAAATTTATTTTCAGGCTTGAAATGACATTTTTAAGCCTAATGAGTCATTTTAATTCTGAAGGAACGTTTTAAGGTTTAAAATGTGATTGCTAAGTTTTATAGTACATTTGTAAGCATATAAACGTTTTTTATTTAAAAAATATTTTTAACCTAAACTGACATCTATACCTAAAACAATATAATTCCAGGTATTGTGGACGCGATGACGACGATATACCGGAATCGTGGCGTCGCCGGCTTCTACCGTGGCCTTCAAGCACGTGTGATCTACCAAATGCCCGCCACCGCCTTATCGTGGAGTGTCTACGAACTGTTCAAATTCACGCTGGACGGACATTAGTTTCGGACCAGCTTCTCGACTATACAGGGTTTATTTAGACGTTTTTTCTCTTTGGTTATAAATAAAACATATATATACGAAGGATGGCGGGGTAAAGTTTTGATTTGGAAGCCTAAATTTCAAGAAATTTGGATTTTCCGGCTTTAGGGCAGGGTTAAGGTAAAAAAGACATGTTATATGATGAAACATGACCAAGTTAAAAATTTTTGAAAATTTATGAAAAGATTACGTTTTACTGATCATTATTAGGCCTAAATTGAAATTATATCATTTTAAACCTATTTTTAGTCAAAAGAGACGTTTTTTAGTTAAAAGTACGACATGTTATACGATGGAAAATGTCCAAGATAAAATTTTTGAAAATTTTATGAAAAATCACTTTCTAATAATCAATTTTAGGCTTACATTGAAACTAGGTAATTTTCAAACCTTTTGTGGCCAAAAGAGAGGGTGATTTTTAGTCAAAAGAGGCATGCCTAGGCATGATATACGATGAAACATGCTCGAATTTTCAAAAATGTTAAAAAGTTTTCATTTTTTTGCAATTAATTTTCGAAATAGGTGGGCTTTTACTAAATTTTATTCAATTTGAAATGTCAGTGTCAAAGGAAAGTTCAACTCCAACGCCTGACGAACTGCCCAGTGCTCCTTACTGTAAACATTGTGGAGACTGTAACTTGAGGTTTTTTGCACGATGTCCGTTTGGGATTCTGAATCTTCTGCTTGGGGTAAGTTATTATCATATATTTTAGAATGATAAGCTTTAACGTAGCCTAATCGTGCCCTAGCCCCGGATCACCCCCAATCATCCATGCACGAGCCCTTTTCTAGTCTTATTCTGGCCTTACCGTTGTCTCACTATGGTCTTGCCCTAGCCCTGCCCTACTAAAAATGCATTTTTAGGTACTATACACCGTGGCAGTGATTCTGTACGCCTTTATGGATTCATTTTTCGGAGAGTTTCTGGTCAGTACACATCTATTGATTGCTTTCTTCATTAGAGCGGTATTGATCCTGTGCTATGTTACCAACACTCAGTCAATGGGCATTGGGTACTTTACTGTTGTTACTGTGAGTTTTTACCCCAACCTTTATCCCTACCCCTACCCTCACCCCCACTTCTACCCCTACCCCTACACCTACCCCTGCCACTACCCCTACAATTACACCCCTACCCCTATTCCTGCCCCTCCTAGCCATAATAAGCCTTACATGACCAGACTTACCCCCTACTATCTGATATGACCCTAGCGGAATATGACTTGCCCTGCACTGCTACACTATGCCCTACTCTAGCTCCAAACCCAGCCCTACCTAGACATGAGGAACGAGCTGGCCTTGACCCAAATTTATGGCGGGCCGGGCCTAAATTTTCAGCCCTTTTGAATTCCAAAACATTTCAAACTTTTCTTCAGGAATACCTCCTGGCCTACTTCACGATAATCTCAGGCATCGCCTCAGTCCCATTTATGGCCAAAGAAATGGTACTGAACGTGCCGATCGACCAGATCTTTGCCATTTCCATCTCAATCATCATGTTCATTGGGATTCTGAGTGCCCTCTTCCACATTTGCATGATCAATCGAGCACGAAAAGGCAAGTCCATCATGTCAATACTCTTCTTATTCAACACTGGCAACAACTTTATGACCAAAAAGAGGTTCAGGAAGTCACAAAAGTTCACCGTGATCACGGTTTGACTGGATTTTTCATAACGTTCCGGTCGTATCTTACTGTAGAGACCACTTTGATGGTGGTTTTAGAAGGGACTGATTTGAAATGGCATTAGTTTTACTAGTTTTTATTGAAAATAAACTTACTTTATTGAATTTATAGATATTTTTGAAAGTTGTTGCCTAGTAAACTAAAATTTAGGTAACAAAAATAAAACTCGTCAGAAATTTGAATTAAAATGAATTTCCAATCTGTCTTTCATGCTGATTTCAAATATCAGTTTAATTTTTTACAAAAACGTTTGGTCTTTGCGAAAAAATGGGTTTTTTAAAATTTTAGGTAACAAAAAATAAAATTCACTAAAAAACCCAAATTAAAATGAATTTCAAAGCAGTTTTTCATGCTGATTTCAAATATCAGTTTAATTTTTTACAAAAACGTTTGGTCTTTGCGAAAAAATAAGTTTTTTAAAATTTTACGTAACAAAAAATAAAATTCACTAAAAAACCCAAATTAAAATGAATTTCAAAGCAGTTTTTCATGCTGATTTCAAATATCAACTTCATTTTTTACTCAATTTTCAAATTCGGGCAAAAAAAACTGTTTTAAAATTTTAGGTAACAAAAATCAAGTATGCCTTTAACATTTTTTTGCGAAATTTAATGGATAATTCAATGAACATCAATGCCAAAAACATACTTTTATATTGACAATATCATGACTTTTTTAAATCGTTAATAGCATTAACAAGGCCATAATTAATAAATAATATATTATACTAACATCATATCCTATACCTACAAGTTCATCCATATTTCTCTTCAAAAGCCTTTTCGAATATTCGACTGAACGTCTTCTCCCTCAATATCCTTGGGCTGTCACAATTGGTAAAGGTGTCCAAGAACTTTTGAGTCGGGAACATGCCAGTATTGATGGCATTACTCACATTGTCCATGAATCTCGACTTCTGATGTTCATTTAGTTGATCAGCCGTTTTTATTAGGTCAAGAAGTGAATTCAGTGTTATTGTTGGTGGTTTGTGGTCCCATTGGACGATTATACCGGTAATTGCGCAGTGAAAACGGTCGATTTCTTCGTTCGCTTTATCGTGCTCCACGTCCCAGCGGATGAGGAGTGGTAGAGCCTAAAAGAAAGATGATCAAAATGTAAATAGGTAATAAAAAACTTTGTAAAGAAAGTTTTAGCCATTTTTCTTGCCATTTTACGATTTGTAAGGAAATTTCTTGCCGTTTTTCGTCATGTAAAGAAAGTTCCTGCCATTTGTCGTCTTGTAAAGAAAGTTCTTACTATTTTGCGTCTTGTAAAGAAAGTTCTTGCCGTTTTTTGTTTTGTAAAGAAAGTGTTTGCCATTTTTCATTGTCAATTCAAAAAATTAGAAAAAATTCATTTTTATTACCTAAAATTAGCAAAAATCAAGTTAAAATTAAAACCCCCTACCTGCTCCCCAAACCGCTTGGCCAGTTCCTGATGTTCATTAAAGAACTCGAGTACATCCACCAGATCTTCAGTCAGCCACAGTCCAATGATGTTGATGATTTGTGGTCCATACACGTTATCATTGATACCGTATGTCATGAAAAAGCATGAGAACTCCAAAGCCCTTTCTCTTAACGGTTGCAATACGGTAAAGATACCGTATACCGGCGGAGGTTTAAGAAAGTCGTCGATCAACCGGTCAATAAGGAGTTGAATCGACTGGTCGTTACTTGATTTGAGCCAGAAGGTGGCTAGATCATCAAAGATTGAGTAGATTCCAAGTTGAAGTGAGATTGAGGCGAGACGGATCAGGGTTTTGATTCGTCGTTCGTGAAGGCGTGGGTTGGCTTCTCTGGCGAGGAAGATGGTGTAGAAACAGTCGTAGCGTAATGTGGCTGGAGTTTCTTCCTGAAAATTCACAATTTAGTCAAAATTTAGTTTAAATTTTTTTTAAATTTGTACTGTAAACTAAAATAAGATAAGTAAAGAAAGGATAAACTAAAGCTAAGGTAAAGTAAGGTCGGTAGGGTAGGGCAGAATAAAATAGAGCCTAGGGCAAAGTTGAGAGAAAAGGGATAAGACGGGGTACAATGAGAGTAGGGCAAGACTAGTACAAGCCTATTTTTACAAAATCTAAAACTAAAAAAATCGTTTAAACCGTATAACTTGTCACCCGCAGGCTGCGCAAAACAAAAAAAAATTTAAAAATAGCAAAAACTTAAATTAAATATTGAAAAATGACAAAAACTTTCTTTACAAAATGGAAAATGGTAAGAATTTTCTTTACAAAACAAAAAATAGCAAGAATTTTGCTTACATGACAAAAAATGGCAAGAACTCTCTTTACAAAACAGAAAATTGCAAGAACTTTCTTTACAAAACAAAAAATGGCAAGAACTTTGCTTACAAAACAAAAAATGGCAAGAACTCTCTTTACAAAACAGAAAATTGCAAGAACTTTCTTTACACACTGAAAAAACGCAAGAACTTAAAAATGACAAGCCAAACACTAACCAATAAGCTTAATCTCTTACCTTATAAAACTCAGTGACAAGTTTTATCAGTTCTAGCTCCTGTTGAATGCCCAAAGGTTTGTTGTTTTGTGCGAAAATCAATTCATCCAGTTTACTCTGTAAAGCCATGTAGTTCTTTTGATAATTGAGATCACTCTTCTGTTTTGACATTAGCTTAGCCGCCTCGAGGCAAGTCTTCAAAGTCGCTCTGAACTGCTGCTTCTTGATGATTAATATCTCCAAAGCGTTGGTTCGGGCCGCATTCGGTGGCGCCGGCGGCAATCGACCAGTCGGTGCGTTTGTGAGGCGTGGCTGTGAGGTTGTGGGTAGGGGTTTGGGCTTGGACTGGTGGGCCGGTGGTCGATTTGAAGGCTGTTGATATGGATGTGGTCTATGGCCGCGATAGCCCGGACCGCCTCGGTTGCGGCCACTGCCTCTGGGGTTGTTGAAGTGGGCGGGGTTTCCGCCGCGAGGTCGATTCTAAAAACTTTTATTGAATTTTGAAAAAGTAGCAGGTTAAAAATAGCAAAAAATTTCTTTACAAAACAAAAAATGGCAAGAACTTTCTTTACAATGCCAATATATTCACAAGCGTACCATTTTTAGCTGTTCCTTTGTAAAACAGAGTCAGTTAGACCTAAAAATAATAGCGTTAGATTCAAAATACAGTAGTAAGAAAGTTGGATCCACTTGGAAGACCTGAAAAGGATGACCCAGGTCTATCAGGCTCTGCCTAAACCAAAGCCGGACCTCTTTACAAATCTAATTTCAATAATTAAGTTGCTGAAATAATTCTGTGCCCTTTGTCAAATAAAATTTTTAAAGTTAGGAAGCCCAGAATTACTTGAACAGCCTAATAACACTATTTTGTTCCAAAAATACAGTCAAATAACTATACCATTCCAAAAATACGATCAAACTGGACCACATACCAATAATAATATAACTTCCCCCAACTTTTGTTCAAACAATTTATTAAATTCTTCAAAACACTTAAAAATAACATAGAATTCAAAGAAAGATCTAATGTTGACTCACATTATCAATCAAAATAACAATAGTTGATACAAGTTCAATATTAAAAGACTGGGTGGTTGGATAACAACAATATAAACTCTATATAGGCTCTAGTACCTAGGTGGGACAAAAATATAAGTTTTAGGTATACAACAAAGCCTTTAGACTTAAAAAAAGCTTTTTGCCTAGTTCTAACCATTTTAATGCTTAAAAGACGATATAAATCTATAAAGAGTCAAGTGTCGAGCAAGATATGAAAGTAAAAAGATTACCCGTAACAAAATATGAGCAAAAACAATACAAAAGATGACATAAACTTTGGCAAAACATATTCTAAATCACAGGCTACTACTGTAATACCAAACAAAAAGCTAGGAAAGAATCTTCTGAGCCTTGTCCATCATTAACAGCGTTCAGAACGCTCCTGATCATTCACAACATTCAGAAGCCTCTAGACCAACCACAACATCCAAAAGGCTTTAAATAGATCATTCACAATATCCAAAATATTCATGTAAAACATTCTAGACCTTCTCCATCATTTACAACATCCAGAAGCTTCTAGAACATCCACAACATGCAAGATTTTTATCCAAACTATTCATAACCTTCTTCATCATTCTCCAAACCCACAATCTTCTAAACCCATCATAACAATAAGGTTCTTCATCCAAAACAACTTTTTTCCCTCCTCCACCTCTACCACAACATGTTCCAAGGTTTGAATTGATTTTTTCTCAATCTTCTTCAAGTTTTTGCCATTTTCAATCGCTGGATCATACTTTTTAGGCTTGTATCTTCATGTTTCTTCACTTTTCCTTCATTCTTTGACGCTTTTCCTTCTTGCTTTACTAGTTTTTCTTCGTTTTTCGTCAACTTTCCTCCATTTTCAAGCCGTTTTTCGGGCTTTCCTCCACAAGTTTTGCCATTTCCAAAAAACTTTGGACCATTTTGTTTCTTCCCTGCCCACATTCTGTCAATGTGTTGACCGATTGATGAAGTTCCCACTTCTTCTTGACCTCTCGACGAAGATATGACAACTTTTTGGTCAATTTCTCTCTTGGATATTCCATTTTTATCAGCTTTCTGACCGTTCAATGAAGATCCATCCACTGTTTGGCCATTGACTTTCTTTAGCTTAACATTTCCATTAATTTTTTGACCGGTCGATAAACTTCCATTATTTTTTTGACCGGTCGATAAACTGCCATTGTTTTTTTGACCGGCCAAGACACTAACATCAACTTTCCGGCCATTAGCCTTCATTTCCATTCCAAATTCGCCTGTTTTTACATCATCTTCACCTTCTTTCTCTTCTTTTCCTTCTTCCACCACTTTTCTGCCATTCTTTGTCCACATGAGTTTGCCCATCAACAATTCGTAGCATATTTTCTGTCGGAATTTGAATATAAATTCATGTAAAAAGTCGTAGCAAGTGCATCTTCTGGCCGTGAACTCCGCGAATGAGCACAAATATACACCACAATCAATGTCATTGTGTTGAATTGGGCGATTCTGAAGGTTGTTATTTCAGTTTTTTTTTTCATTTTTCAGATTTGATTTAAACGTTTGGCAATTTCAAAGTTATGTTAACCATGAGAAGTGTAAAGAATGTTATTGTAGAAAATAAAATAGTAAAAATTAAGTTTAATTAGAATTTTTAAATAAAAAAGTGCTTACCACTAGGATCTTCTTCAAGCTCCTTGTAGTGAAGTCTTTCTTCTGCTTTGTTGTTGCTTCTGCTAGTAGGTATTGGCTGAAAAATAGAGGTTAATATTACACTAAAACCTTATTTTTTAAATATTTTTTCAAAAAAAGTTTTTATGTTACTTAAAAATAAAAAAAACCGTAAAAAATCTTTTTTTTACCCAGCCTTAACCAGAAATGCCTATCCTATCTTTCCCTGTCGTACCCAGATCTCATCTGCCTTCCTCAACCCACCTCTGCTCTACCTTGCCTTACTGTACCATATACCCTCTTCTGCCCTTCACTGCCCTACCTTACCCTACCATTCCTAATCATACCCTACCAAGCCAAATTTTGCCCCTACAATACCTAAAAACCAACTTTAACACCAAAAAACCACGAAAACCTACTCCATTTCCCTAAAGTAATAGCTAGCGACTTGTGTAGCAATCTTCTCATCCTCAAAGTCCATTGAATCGCAATAAACCTTGTGTTTGTGTTCAAAATCCCATATTAATAGTGCCCAATGTTCGTTGGCAAAGATGGGTACATAAACAAGATCATATGAGAAGATATCAACCTTTCTAGTCCATCTTGAGACCTTCTCATAGCCATGGTCACGAAATGTTGGGTAGAAGAAGGTGTCAAATGCGTAGACCTGTAAAAATAAACAAAATTAAAAAATTTATTACCTAAACACCTACTACAATATAAAGAACACTATATAGCCTAAATTTAGAATATCATCCCATAAACCCTGCCCTACCTTAAAATTACCCTACCCTGCTCTAAAATCATATAAAACCACATCTTATCAGAATTCTCACCTTAGGAAAACCAGGAGTCTCTTCAGCCCTCTTGATGATCAACTTCATATAAGCGTTGATGACTTCATCGTTCAGTAACTGCAAACTTTTCAACGTAAAAAGGTCAGATTTTTTCAGAGAAGCACCAGCCACTGTTAAAAACGTATTTTCATTATCCAAGTCCGTATCTTCCTTCCATATTTGTCGAATTGGCAAGATACCATCAGATGGTATACCTAAAATATCTTTTTTTAGATCTAAAACAATAGTTTTGACGAAAAATGTTGATAAATACAGAAAAATTAATTAATAACGTCCAAAACCATCCACCAATCAAAAAATTATCCATTTTTACCCATTGAAAAGCCTAAAAACAAAAAAATCAAAAAATCTTACCATACGCCACCAAATTGAAGGTATTGCTAGATATAACGTCACGAAGCTCTTCGAATGTGTCTGTATGTGTTTCTTCTAAAGCTTCTTGTGTGTAGCATTCTTTTCCGTAGCGGTCAGATGCATCTACCAGCAGTATCTGACTTCGGAACTTCTGAAAAAGCAAAACTCCATGGATAATATAATGAAATATAACTTAACGCCAATTCTACTTTTTAAATAAATAAAAAGCCCGCTTACAGTGAAATAAATTTCAAACTCCATTATGCTCATTTTGGTATGTTACACTAGGTTCAGCTAATATAAATGCTGAACAAACCTAAACTAGGCTACAATCCAAGCTCAATTCAACAAGTATCGTTTGCTAATACTTAACCTTGTATATCTACACAAAACCAACTAACGTGACATTTATACCCAAAACACACCACAGTTCATCCTACTTACTACGTGACAAATCGCAAATTACTTCAAGCCATAAATCAAATAAAACATTTGTTCAAGAAAACACAACAAAAATAGTTCCAAAATGTCACGCAGCAGCTCTTAAACTTGTATTTGGAAGCAATACAGCGTGTTTTAATTGGTCCCGAGTTCAAACTTTTAAGAACCTTGTAATATGATAAGAAAAAATTGTTGTAACTTTGAAATTTTTGTTATTCTAAGAAACTTCGTTTCTAAAATAGTTAAAGATGTCTATTATTTACCTTCAAAACAACTTCAGCTTTCTAACTATATCAAGCCAAAAGATATATTCAAAACAAGCTGATTTACGTCTGCAAACCTAAACCAAGAACAACATCAAAAGAAAAAACTTACTTTTGTAACCCGTTTAACTCGCTTGATTTGTGGAACATCAGAACTGTTATCCGAAGCATTTGAGCTAGTCGGTTCTTGGTGGAAAAGTCTCGGTCTCTTGGATTTCGGTTTGTCGTTTGACATAACCTAAAATAACATATTTTTTAATGTGTTTTAATATATAATCTTTGAAAACTCAAAAATAATAAAAGTTATCAAATTACCAAGCATTTTAGGTGCTCTGAGTACCTTTTTAATCTTATAGGAACATATTAACCATCAAAAAACTTGTTTACTTCGCTTTTTTAAAGTTTCCCGATGGAATATAAAACTAAAACAGTTATAAAAACTAAATTCAGCTATTTTCTAAAAGATTTTGTAAATTTTAATAGTTCAGAAGCAAGAAAAGTATTAAAAACTACCTATTTTACAAAATTTTTGCCCGATTTCTCAAAAAAAGGAAAAATATTTTATTCGCTAACTGCGCATTAGAAGCTGCAGGCTGCGAAACCATTTTATACGAAGGAATTTGTGAACTGTTTGTAACATTTTTCTAGCTTTTCTTTGTCAAAACTATATTTTTAAAGTAAAATACAATTTGTTCCGCTCATTATTAAAGATTATAAAATTAATTTTTAAGCGTTAGGTGAAAAAGTTTCTGATTTTAGATATTTTTAGTAAAATACGTGCTGACGATGTTTGATTGTAATAATATTTATTAATATAGTACATTAGTCAATAATTTGTACTGTTTAGCACATGTGGAGGACAATACATGAGCGTTCTGGATTGATTTTGCTTCCTTCTTCCTTCAACCAGTCGGCCAAACGGTTCAAGGCGTCGTCAGCCAAGTTGGAGCACAAGTGCTCGAGTTGTTCAATTTTTCCGAGCTTCTCGTGACAGTATTTCTGAAAAATTGAAGCTTATGGTAAATTTTTCCACCTTTTAAAGTTTTGTAGAAGAGATAGCTTCAGAAAGTTTCGAAAGTCAAAAAAGTTTGAAATTTCTTTAAACTTCTACTGTAAGGTAACCTCAAATAGCTGTAACTTTGTTGCCAAATAAGATATGTTTTAAAAACTTTAGCAAAATGTACAACAAACAGTTTATGCTCTACAAAACGTATTTTTTCAAATTTGGTCAAACAATTTGAAAAAGGCAAAATTTTAAGTTGAAAATGACACGCAAGGCTTAAAGTAGTGGGTTGCAACAAAATTACTGTAACTTTTTAAATTTATTGAATTTTCAAATTTTCTTTTTTGAGTAACGTGAAGAGTTGAACACTCTACTACTGTGCCAAAGTTTAACTTTCTATCCCAGCCGCATCTGTCTCAAAAAAAAATTTTTTTTTCTGAAAAAAAGTTGAACTTGGTCCCCTCTGTAGATTTTTTTGAAAAAACTGAAAAAACTTCTTTTAGTTTACTTGTTTTTTTATAAATTAAAAAATAGGTGTTAGGCTTTACTTTCTATCTTACATTTACTAGTTTTTCAATTTTAGATACCTAAACTACCAGTAAACCATAAACCTACATGAACAGTTGGCAACAAGATTTCGCGTTCGATTTCTCTGGCGTTCTCCAGCTCGGCTTTGATGACTTCAAAAAGGGCTTGGCATGGTTTGCACAGGAATTTTCCGATTTTCCATTGCAATTCAGGGTTCTCCAACAATGGGTTTTGCTTGGCCACGCTTTGGCGTTCGAGGGCTTCTTTGACGAAATTGGTCTTGTCTAAAGCAGCCAACAGCTCCTTTTTCAGCTCCTCCAGGTGCTGTTCGGTGTTGCGGTCGAGGACGGCGGCGGAGGCCAAAGCCAAAGTGGCAGCGAGGAAGAGAACGGTCTTCATTCCGGTCGAGAATGGGTTGATTGTGATTAGCTTGCATTGTTTTATAGGGGACGATGCTTATCAACAATGGTGTTATCACTGTTCTTGGCTAGCCTTTGGTTTTCTCAAGTTTTAAGAGGTTTTGGAAGTTGGAATTTGGTTGAATAAGGATTATGGTTATCATATGAAACATATGATGTAGTTTTTTTTGTGTAAGATGGCTATGTAATGATAATAGGATAAATAAGGTCATTTTGAGGTCAAGTCAGTTGGCATAAAATAAGGTGGGTAAAGACAAGGGTAAGCCAAAGGCAGGGAAGATCACAGAATGGGGTAGGGCAGCAAGGATGGGCTAAGGCAGAGACAGGACAAAAAATGGGTTGGGTCGGGCAGGACCGGACAGGGCATGTCAGAGCATGACAAGACAGGGCATTTATAGAGGAGGTGTGTGGGTAAATGATAGAGCTAAGCGAACGCTACTACAGACTTAGTCACGAGGTAGAGTAGGGTAGGGTAGGGTAGGGTAGGGTAGGGTAGGGTAGGGTAGGGTAGGGTAGGGTAGGGTAGGGTAAGGTAAGGTAGAATAGGACTTGATAAGCCTACGTGATTACTGTAACATTTTTCTGACGTAAGTGTTATCAGTATTCGCCTTCCAAATTCAAAATTACAAACTGATAAGGAAAGATTAAGAGTTTTCAATTGTAAATTCCAAAACTTTCCTTGTAAAAAGTTTTAAAAATAACTTTTTGTAACAAACATTATTGATAAAACAGCAATCTCTTAGCAATGTTATAAGAAACTTGTTGATCATTTACTTTCCTAATAGTATGTTAAAAAGGAACATATAATCTTGAAGTAGATTGCTGATAAAGGGCTTATTTGTTATTTACTATTACAACCAGAGATTAATTTTTTGTTCTATGACAATCAATTTAATTGCAATTTTTGGTTGTTATGATAATATGTATAATAAGAACGCTAAGGCCAAGGCTGGGACATTAGGCTAAGGCTAGGGCTCTGGACTAGGGCCTGGGCTGGGGCGCTCGGCTAGTGCTTTCGGCTAGGGATAGGTCCTGACAAAAAGGAAAATTCTATGGCTAATGGCAGCTTAGGCTGCACTATCAGCATTAGGCTGAAGCAAGGGTAGGCTTGGGCTGATTATATGGCTTAGACTAATAGGATTAGAACTAAGGCTAGAGCTAAAGCTAGGTCTAGGGGGCCTGTGCAAAGGCTCTGAGCTAGAGCTCTCGAGCTAGGGTTTTGGGCTAAGATTTTGAATTAAGGTTTGGTGTGAGGGCTCTAGGCTAGGGCTCTGGACTAGGGCTTTGAGCTAGGGCTTTGGACTAGGGCTCTGGGCTAGGGCTCTGAGCTAGAGCTCTAGGCTAGAGCTCTGGGCTAGGGCTCTGGGCTAGAGCTCTGGGCTAGGGTTCTGGGTTAGGGCTCTGGGCTAAGGCTCTGAGATAGAGCTCTAGGCTAGGACTCTGAATTAGAGCTCTGTGCTAGGGTTTCGGGGTAGGGCTGTGGGCTAGGGCTAATAAAATGCAGAAATCTATAAATTATGAAATTTTTTAAAATTAAGTTTATTTTAAAATTATGACAATTTTTAATAAAAATCCAAAAACAATGATTTTAAAGAATTATCTATGGCAGTATTATGATCGTATGTACAGATATAGTAATATAAACACAATAAAAACACAAAAAGTACATGTACAACATTTTAAGAAAAATCAAGGTAAAATACATCTGTAGTAATAGAGCCTGTTTACTCCATACAACAAACGGCTAGCCCAGGCACACAACAAGCTTCATCGGCTTGAAAACATAGTGATAAGGCTAGTATTAATAGTATTACAGCGACAATAACTAATATTAATAAGGGCGTGGAAAAACTTGGCCATGGCATTTCTTGCTCCTTTATCACTGGTGGACCACATTGTACCAGTTGACTTGATGCTAGTAGAAGTAGTAATATCCTTGTCAAGTTCTTTGAGTTTAACATGAAGGCTATGGATGAAGTTGAATGTAGGTATAACATTGTGGACTGGCTATGTAGGGTATGGTTTGGTTGATGACGATAATACTAGGTAGGGTAATGCCAACGGCTATTTAGGCTATATTATTCGTTTCTATGTAGGCTATGACTTGATTAATGATGATAAAGGTAATACTACTTGGCAGGGCAGTATCAGTTATAACGTTTAGAAGCAGAAGAAACAACAGTATTAATATTCACGTTGATCTTCAGGTTAAGCAAGTAAGTTTACATTGGATGAAGCTCCAATTCTTTATGAAGTATCTAAAACAATATCAAATTAAAATTTTACAAATTGAAAAAAAAATTTAAAATGTCACGTACAGACGTAGTAAAAGATTAACGTAGATCGAACCGAGCCTAAATTTTGTATTTTTTTCAGCTCGTTTTTTGTTTTACTGAAATCCAGCCTGGTCCGGCTGAATGAAAGAATATTGCCTACTCGAACCGGGTGTGAATTTTAGGCCCGGCCAATTTTTTATATTGCTCAAGCCCAGCTCGTTTTCCATGCCTATGATCCAGTGCCCTAGCCCAGAGCCCTAGCCCACAGCCCTAGTCCAGAGGCCTAGCCCATTGTCCTAAAGAAAAATAATAAAAAAAGCATATCCAAAGTCAATAGAACAATAACATGTTTGTGGCAGCAGAGTTCACGAATATTAATAGAGTTTTTGCGTAATTTATGCAAAAACTCAGTGCTGACACATCAAAAAAATAACAAAATTTAGCGAACAAAATGGATAATATACCCTCCCAAGAGACCCTACCCTACCCTACCCTACCCTACCTTGCTTTCAACTATCTAAAATCAGACCCAACCCTAAAATTTGAAAAAAACCACACCCTACCATAACTCACCCACCCCTCTCCCCTATCGTCAAAAATCCGACCCCCCCCTAAAACAAATTAAGGATCTAAACAATTACCATACCCTACTATACTCAGTCGCCCTACCCTGTTTCCTACCATCTAAAACCCAACCCTCCCCATAAAAAATTTTAAACACAGTAGAATTACCACACCCTTTCATATTCATTTATAATAGCCGAATCACCTCTTAAGCCTATACCTAACAATCGGACTTCGCGTGCTTAAAGAAAGCCTGCGCCTACCTACTTAAACCTAAAAGAATCGCCCAAACCTATCAAATAACCCTTCTCAAAAACATGTCAATTTGAGTAATAAATATACCCCTGCCCTATCGTTAGTGCAGACAATGTTTTTGGGCTTTACAACCGCAGCAATCAAAACTTGAAGTGGGTTTGCAAACAAAGAAGTGGAGGCAAGTGTAATAAAATCCGATTTTTGAAATCGTCGAAATTGCGGGATTTTCGCTTTTTATTATCATACGCGCAATCTTCAATGCCAAATCTTGATGAATATGAAGAAACCACAGTGAATACAAATAATATAATATAAATTGAGCAAATTGGTTGAGAAAATAACTTACAATGGAACTCCTGTATAACCAACTCGTCTATAATGAAATTCCCGTATAACGAACAACTTTTGAATCAACGTCTATCGCTGCACAGTGCATTTAAAACTCCGTATAACGTAACTCCTTTATAACAAACAAATTTCAAGTCCCCGAGCGATTCGTTATATAGGAGTTCCACTGTATTAGAGTAAAATATGCAGCATTATTAAACGTTAAGCCTAAGAATATAAGCTTGCTATGTTAAACTGTTCTTAATTTCCTAGGTCCTCTATGCCTGAGCGTAAGTCAAAGCCTATATTAAGCTTAAAATTAACAGAAATAGCTTAAAATTAAGCTCATTAAGCCTAACTCTTTTAATTCTGAGCCTGCTAAGCACAAGAATACAAAACGTGAGCCTTTTAGGCCTATTGACACGAAGCCTGCCGAGCCTAAGTTTACTAAACCAACGTCTAAGCCTGGTAAACCTAGAACTTCAAGTCAAACCCTTTGCCTCGTAAGCTTCAGTCTGGTAAGCCTAAGCCTAAGCCTAAGCCTAAGCCTAAGCCAAAGCCAAAGCCAAAGCCAAAGCCTAAGCCTAAGCCTAAGCCCTAGCCTAAGCCATAGCTTAAGCCTAAGCCCTAGCCTAAGCCTTCTAAGCCTAAGCCTTCTAAGCCCAAGCCTTCTAAGCTTAAGTCTTCTAAGCCTAAGCCTTCTAAGCCTAAACCTTCTAAGCCTAAGCCTCATAAGCTTAAGCCTTCTAAGCCTAAATCTTTTAAACCTAAGATTGTTAAGCATAAATTTTGCGGGTCCAATCTTTTTAAAGTTATGTCGAAGCCTTCTAAGCCTAAGTCTTTTAAGCCTGAGTTTTTAGGTTTGAATTTCTGAAACCTAAGTCTTGCTTTTTAAACTAAAAATTGAAAAAAAAACTTAAAAATAGGTCATAAATTAGCTAAAATTTTAAAACCCCCTTTAAAAACTCAAAGCCCTCACCCATTACCGTTCCATTACGTGACAAAAAACCTAAATGATGTTACATGGAATATTTGCGAAGGTAATTGAAGTAAATTGCGGAACCGAGTAATACTCAATACAAAACCTACTTTCACATAATATGAAGGACTTTTCAACAAAAAAAACTTCTCCAAATCCCTTTTTTCCCCAAAAGAAACGCGAAATTCCTCGAAATTTGCTTCAAAACTTTTGAAGAATCTCCTTGCGAGCTAAAAAAGGCTGAATAGAACTTCACTGGCTAATAAGTAAAAGAAACGTTTGTTTATTGCATTTGTTTACAATTCCAATCAAAAGCAATGTTTAAAATTTAAAGTTCAATTAGGGCTTTGGAAGAGAAGATTGTTTTTGGTAGAGAAATCAATGTTTTCAATATTTTTGATAACAAAATGAAAATATCTTTAATGAATTGAAAAAATGAGATTCATAGGTTTTTTAAAAGAAAAACTTGTGTTTTAAGCTATCTTTAAAAAGCTATGACTTAGGCTTAGAAGGTTTAGGCTTTGAAGGCTAAGGCTTACAAGGAAAGTACCCAACCTGCAACTCTCAGGATTAGCTCAA